AATTGGTCTGTATAGAGGCCACAGGTCTTTATAAAGACCAATTGGTCTGTATAGAGACCACAGGTCTTTATAAAGACCAATTGGTCTGTATAGAGACCACAGGTCTTTATAAAGACCAATTGGTCTGTATAGAGACCACAGGTCTTTATAAAGACCAATTGGTCTGTATAGAGACCACAGGTCTTTATAAAGACCAATTGGTCTGTATAGAGACCACAGGTCTTTATAAAGACCAATTGGTCTGTATAGAGACCACAGGTCTTTATAAAGACCAATTGGTCTGTATAGAGACCACAGGTCTTTATAAAGACCAATTGGTCTGTATAGAGACCACAGGTCTTTATAAAGACCAATTGGTCTGTATAGAGACCACAGGTCTTTATAAAGACCAATTGGTCTGTATAGAGACCACAGGTCTTTATAAAGACCAATTGGTCTGTATAGAGACCACAGGTCTTTATAAAGACCAATTGGTCTTATAGAGACCACAGGTCTTTATAAAGACCAATTGGTCTGTATAGAGACCACAGGTCTTTATAAAGACCAATTGGTCTGTATAGAGACCAATTGGTCTGTATAGAGACCAATTGGTCTGTATAGAGACCAATTGGTCTGTATAGAGACCACAGGTCTTTATTAAGACCAAATGGTCTGTATAGAGACCACAGGTCTTTATTAAGACCAAATGGTCTGTATAGAGACCACAGGTCTTTATTAAGACCAATTGGTCTGTATAGAGACCACAGGTCTTTATTAAGACCAATTGGTCTGTATAGAAACCACAGGTCTTTATAAAGACCAATTGGTCTATATGATGACCACAGGTCTTTATAAAACCAATTGGTCTTTAAAACCAATTGGTCTTTAAAAAGAGCAACTGGTCTGTATAGAGACCACAGGTCTTTAAAAAGACCAATTGGTCTGTATAGAGACCACAGGTCTTTATAAAGACCAATTGAACTGTATAGAGGCCGGAGTTCATTATAAAGACCAATTGGTCTGTACAGAGACCACTGGTCCTTATAAAGACCAATTGGTCGGTATAGAAACCACTGGTCCTTATAAAGACCAATTGGTGTGTATAGAGACCAATTGATCAGCTCATACCTGATAATATATATTTTTTATTCCTTTCTTAAAGTTAGGAAATTATCAAACAAAAAATTCAATTTTTTTATATATTTTTTTTAAAAATATTTTAAACAAAACGAGGAATGCACTTTCTAAAATATTAGAAAAAAAAAAATAAAACAAACAAAAAATTTACTAAATGCTAATGTTTTTGTTTTTAATATTAATAATAATGTAATGAAGAAAGAAAAAACAAATGCCTTACAAATACAATCGAAAATAATTATAATAAAAATTTTTTGATGTGTTTAAAAAGGAAGTGTTTAACTCTACTAAAACTAACAATTAGATGATGAATGTTTAATGTATTCTGATTTTTGTTTTAGGAATATCTTAAGATAATATTTGTTTAAAAAAAGAAGTAATTAATCATAGTCCAAAGATCTTATTAACTAAATTGGCAAAGTGTTTTCTATTTTTTTTTTCTTTAAAAGAAATATAGTATGAAAAGAGAAGGGATTTAACAAATTTTAGAGAATTACAAATCATTACATACATTCATACATATATAGGGGTATTTTCGGAAAAAGTGTTTTCTTTTTATGTGAATTTGAAATCTTTAAATTACAACAAAGTAATCGGTTTCTTACAATAAATACCAACATTTAGAATTTGCATGTTTTCTCTTTCTTTTTAATTACAATACAACCTTATATAGATTTTCCTTATTTTGCTTGATTTCGATTACAACAATATTATTAACGCTTCAAAATACATGCAATACATATGTGAATTTAATATAAAATTTTCTCATAATACATTTATGTTTTATATTTGCATTTTCTATGGATTAGAGTTTTTTATTTATTTTTTAAATATTGTTGCTTTGTTTATAAAATAAATTCAATATGGTATGGGGTTTTTTCTTTTGTGTTTGTTATTGTTATTTTTTAGAATGAAGCCGCTGTTATATTTTGTCTTAAGCTGATTTTCTGTATTATAAAATACAATTTATTTTGCCTTATAAAGTAAGCAATAAAGTAAATACATGGATTATTTATTTGTTTAAGCAATTGACTGACTGTTTGTTTGATTGATAAAATGTGAGTGTGGATATGTGTAGAAATCACAAAAAAAAATCAAAAATGTTTAAAAAAAGAATTGGTCTTATTGACAAAAAATCGCAAAATGTTTGCTGGGTAATGAGTTTTGTAACATGGCAATACTTTTCGAACAGAACTCGATTGGGTAGGATAGATTAAAATGTGACTGTTCTCCTTACCCTCTATATGAGGATGATGAACAGAATTTCTTTCTATTTTTCTCTCATTACAATGTCTTCTAAGGTAGATTACATAGGGTTGATTGCTATCCGGCAGCCGCGCATGCTCTAACCGATGGTGGAACGAAATCGACAATATCTTCCCGATGTAAATCTGCTGTCAATCGACTCGAATGCAAATGATCAATTTTGTTCATCCTTGTGATTTCGATATAGGAACAAGTAAAAAATTGTCGGTTAGTGTTGCTGACAGATGTATACCCTACGGAACTATGTACTACACACTGGTTTTATTATTCACTCTATATTATAACATTTTTATCAAATAGTTGATCGTCTTTGGAGAGGTACCAGAAGAGGTTACTCTATGGAAATATATGTTTGAATGTTTGTAATGGAGGAATCAGACGGATTGGATTGATGGGACATTTCGGTCATGATCGAGATTTGGTAAAAGTATTACGATTACCGAAGTTTGGATAAAATCGGACACTCCATTAGTTTGATATTGAAATAACAAATTTTCTCTCATGGCTCTCATCTTCGGATATGATCTAGGTTTGGTAAAAGTATCACGATTTTGGACCAAATCAGACATTGCATTTGCTTGGGAAACTTTGTGGGAGAAGTACCAGAAGTAGTGGACCAATGAGTCCCATCTTCGGACATCATCTAGGTTTAGTAAAAGTATTACGACTTCCAAAATTTCCAATTCCATTCGGTTGATATTGGATTAACAAAAATGTTGATACATTGTGGGAGAGGTAACCGAATGAGTTGACTGATTGGTCCTATCTTCGGACATGATCTAGGATTGATATAAATATTACGATGTTTAAAGTTCGGGTCACGTAGGACATTGCCTTCGCTTAATATTGGATTTATAAAAATGTTGACCCTTTGTGGGAGAGGTACACGAAACTTCGTGCATTCGATTAATATTTGTGGGGGAGGTACTGGAAAGAGTGGACCGATGGGTTTCATCCTCGGACTCGATCTGGGATTGGTAAAAATATTACGATGTGTAAAGTTGGGTCAAATCGGGCATTCCATCCACTTAATATAGGATCTAAAAAAATTAAAATTTTAACCTATGCGGGGGAGGTACTGGAAGGAGTGAACCGATGGGTCTCATTCTCGGACTTGGTCTGGGATTAGTAAAAATATTACGTTGTGTAAAATTTGGGCATTCCTTTCGCTTCATATACGATTTATAAAAATTGAAAATTTTGACCTATTTACAGGCTTGGTAAAAATATTAGGTTGTGCAAAGTTTGGCTCAAATCGGATAGCCTATTGCCTGATTTTAGAAAATTATTTTTCACCAAAATTTTGAAGATTTTGTGTTGGAGGTTCCATAAGGAGTGGACCAATATTCCCCATATTCGACATGATATAAGTTTGGAAGAATTATTACGATATCACTCAAGTTTAAATAATATCGGTTACTCCCTTCGAGAGTTATTGTGCGCCCCAGTCATATATAGACAGTGGAAGGACTTTTGTAAATCGACACCTGAGGGTAAATAAATCGGTTTTATTGAAACCGAAATGATATTATAAAATAATCTTCAGTACAATTTTGCACATACCAGAAGGAGTGGACCGATATTCCCCATCTTCGACCTTGATACAAGTTTCGAAGAAATATATTACAATATTACGAACGTTTGGATGAAATCGGCTATTCCATTCGAGTGTTTTTGTGCGCACCTGCCATATAGACAGTGAACAGACATTTGTAAATCGACTACTGAGGGTATAGAAATTGGTTTTTTTGAAACCAACAATAGGGGGTCCAATCATGATACACTTCAATATCGGTGTCCCAACGTTTGTTTCCATCAGGAAGAAGCCCATCTTTTTGCTTTGGCCTTTTTAACGTGAAATTGGAGGAAATTATATATGAATGTTATATCCAAATTTGAAGCGATTTGAACCAAGCTTGTTAATCGGACATTCGTGAAGTTACTCTCTGTAATTTAAACAAAATCACATGAAATAATTTATGGATGTTCACATTACGATATAATTCACATTACGATATACTTAATTATTATTTGATATAATGTTAACTTACTTATTTTTGTAACATCCAATCTTCCAAGTTCCAATTTAATTAACATAATTTGTGTTAAAGGAAAAATTGTCAGCATTGAATATTCCCAAATGGAATGGATATTCCTAAATTGGTTTGAATCACAAAATTAGCTTCGATACTAATTTTTTAGATGTTTCCGCAATACCCAGCAAACATTTTGTAGCAATATTTCATATAAATATATATTTCGATTACCATTAAATTGAAAATATTGAATGTGCAATACATATCCACTCACGTGTACTTTTTAGATTTTTTGTGTATATATAGGTATATATATATATATTTTTTTTTTTTGTTTGTTAAGCTGATGATTGATTATCCAGTTACATATAATTATATAGAAATTTCTTTATATGTATATATAGATAGTTGCACTGCATTATTATTGTTATACGTTAAAATGTGTGTGTATATAGGTATGTATTTATTTTCTCCCTATATTTTGCATTTCTTTCATTCACATGTATAAATGTATGTGTCTATGTATGTATGTCTTTTATGCATTCTTAGATTTTGCTGTATATTGATGTATTTTTCTTGATGTTGTTATTAGTTTTCTTTATATTCTACGATCTTACATTTGTTTCTCCGGCATTTTATTATATTTCAAATTGATTTGTACACTTTGCGAAAACATTTTGATAATGGCATAATAATCGTTGGTGAATACTTTTAAAAAGCTCGGTATATTCTTAACAGCTAATTCCGAACAAAATTGTGGATATTTACGATAGGCTGGTTGCATATCATCCCATATTGATAATAGATCACATTCATCACTAAAAATTAAAAAAAATAAGAAAATAAAAAATATAATAAATATAAATTTTAAATATAATTTACATATTATATATTTAATAATTATATATAAATTATATATAAATTATAAATATAAATTATAATTATAAATATAAATTTCAAATTTCTGACTTACCTAATGTGATTTTCACAATCTTTAACTGTTATAATCAAATACTGTATTTTTAATTGTGAACATTGATTATAAATATCAGATGACTGTTGTCGACTAAAAATACTATATACATGTTCAGTACGATCACTAAAAAAATGCAACAAAAAACAAAAAAAATAAAATTTTTATAAATTACTCAAATAAAAAAAAAAATCAAATATACTCACCTTATTTGTTTCATTTCTAGATGAGCATGATTGACAATGGGTCTTCTTGTTGATAAATGCACAGTACCAATTATTTCAATGGGTCCTAAAAAGAGAAACAATAGAATTTTATATTATTTTGGGCAAAGGCTAGAAAATGAAAAAAATGCGCTTAAATTTTGTAACAGCTTGTGGTGATCCTTAAAAGTACATTCTATAAAAAAAAACTACGGTTGTTTTGGCCATTGAAAAATATTATTTAAAAAATTCATTCAGCCACTTCAGTGGAAAATGTGACGGGGCCTATGTCATGATATCGAACATTTCTGGAGATATTTCCCCCATCCATTAAATCGAAATATCAAAGTACAGCCTTTTTGGTTGGAAAATGCGTCTAAAATCTTTATAGTATCTGAAATGGCCTGGCCCTAATACAAAACGAGAATAGTAAACATTTTCTATAGATATGTGTGTTCTCCTTCCAAGAACTCGGTATGCCACATCATAAAAGCAATCAAATTGTATTTTACCCCACGTAAAAGCACAACAAAAGGAATGCCAAAAACTACAGCCCGTATTTTAAATTATTCTTCAGAGAAGTTTTTCTTCATCCAGGAATCCTGAATGTCAAACTACTGCCGCATCGCACAGTTGTCGAAATCATGGAATTAGCGGCGCGAAAGTCAAAAATCCAAGTATAAACTTCCGAAAATTTTCATTGCATCGATTACAGACTCTTTCCTGACTCAGACTTTGATTTCACATTAATTTTATGAATTAATTATGATGAAAATTGTCGGCTACAAACTTTAAAATACCGGAATTGGGTTGGGACATTTATATGGCGGCTATGTAAAAACATGGTCCTACTGTAGTAACATTTTTCAACCATCACCCTCCAAATATCCGAAATGCAAATTTAAAGAAGTTTTGGCTGGAGACTGCGGTTAAAATCTCAAACAAACATGTGAATTAAATTTAAATTAATCAAAGTTCGAAATATTTTTATCGTCAGACTTATACCAAAGACAGACGACAGCCTTAATTTGAATTAAATAGTTCTTAATTTGTGTTTTTTTAGTTTCTGCATTTATGAATCAGTTTTTTGTTTCAAAACTATTGTTTGTCTGTGTGTAGAAAGAAAATATTGTCATTTGTTTACATTATTTTTTAGGATTACATCTTTATGAAAAGGATATATGCCAGACAGGAAGAATAACAGCTATAATGATGATAAAACTGCGCCCAATTCGACGGAATGTTGTATTATGCCTTTTTTTCCAATTTTTATTTTCATAAACGTTAACAAATTTGACAACAATCAATTTATTTTCTACAGCATTGCCATATTGAAATTGGTTAATTCAGTATAAATTCGGTTTGATTTTGTGCATTCATAAAAATGAGGATAATGTACAAGTTAATTTGAATTAAGGCTGTTAATGCAAATTAAGGCTGTCGTCTGTCTAGGCTATTACACTCATATTCTGTACAACATTTGTGTTTTTTTGTGATTCAGAACGCTACGTGGCCTGGCAACATATATAAGTTTTTCGATAAAAAATCCTCCAAAAACCTAGTTTTTAAATATCCACCCTTTTAGTTGATACTTTGAATTCATTGAATATATATTCTATGAAAAATCCATCGTTTTCAAAAAATAAATATATAAAATAAACAAAAAATGCTCAAACGAATGACATCAGTTTTGAAATTCTAAGTAAGCAGTATAGAAACAAGGTCACCTCCCGACAGTTCAAACTCATACTTTACAAGACGCTGATACTACCAGTTGGCATGATACCGATGAGCGGGAGAATACTCAAAAAAGAAAATAAAACAATTTTTATATTTTCAAATTTATTCGGCAAGTTAGTGAGTTTCGAAAGAAAAAAAACTTCACCTTAATGCGTGCGTGTTCGATCGAAAGCGAGAATGCAAGTTTCAGCAACGAAAGCGAGAATGCAAGTGAAGTCTCGGTGAGCAAATGTAGCGTAAATAAGGTCGAAGTCATATCGACGACGTAGCACCGAACGGAGCGAATGTGATTTCTAGGAGAGAGCGTAGGAAAGAGCGGATACTCTCTCCTACAATCCTAACCAGGCGATTGTGACTCCTAGAAGAAGTCCAGAGAAGATTCCCCCATTGACTCAAATGAGTGGCCAATTAATGTGAATAATAATTGATATGCTACGGAAGGGGTGAACAACATATCGAACACATACATTGTCGTAAACAATGTATCGAACCTAAACACTACCCGTGATGGATCTGAAGCATGGGTACTTGCGCAAGCAGACGAGGCTGCTCTTGGGGTGTTTGAGAGAAAAATTCTCCGAAAGAACTACGGACAGATTTGCGTCGACGGTGAATATCGGCGTCGAATGAACCACGAGTTTTACAATTTATACGGGGACATCGACATAGTGAGTCGTATTGAGCTGCAGCGACTACGGTGGCTACGTCATCTTGTGAGAATGAATGAGAATGCTCCAGCTCAAAAGGCACATAAAAGCGAGCCTACTGATGGTTCACGCAGAAGGGGAAGGCCACGTATTAGATGGAAAGTCCAAGTTGAAGACAACATCTTGAAACGTGGTCTTTCAAATTGGAGGAGATGCGCACAAGACCGACGCGTCTGGAAATCTTTTTTAAGCTCGGCTTATGGAACAACCGTTTTGAACAAGCCAGCTAAGTAAGTAAGATATATGCATTTCCCCAAAAAGATATTCGTTAAAAATTTGCCGTTCACAATAAATGTTCTCTAAATATCGAACTCAAAAAAAAAAATGTTCTAAAAAATCCACGACTTTTGAGAACATAATCATACATAAGTTCTCTTTAAAAAATCTACACCAATGTTATCCTTTCTAAAAATTGGTTCCCACAATAATATGCTCCGAAAAATATTCGTTAAAAGCTCTGAGGTAAATGTAGAAAATCCGCGGTACTAAAAAAATGTTTAAAATTTTTTGGTTTTAGAAAAAAACAATTATTTGAAAAATCCAAGTACAGTTCTTTAACCGAAAAGGTTAGTTTAGGTTGAATAGAGTTGCGGTTTACGCCAGTTATTGCGTAATTTGCCTTGGCTTTGGGATGTACACAAACCTTTTACATGCCTTAAAGGAAACAGCTAAGCATACTGATGATAGACCGACTCTTTCGTCTAATAAAGCGGGGAAGACTTTGTCTGGTTATGCTGCTTTAAACGATGAGAAGCTCTTCAAAGCACATCTTAACATTTATTCATCAATGCTAGGATTCTCAGATCTTACCCCCTTATTGCTGTTACATAATCATTTATCAATTTGCTCGGTGGGAAGTGAGCTTTCATGGGAAGTCTTAGTGTTTCTTCAGTTGGGTCTATTCTATAACTTTCATCATATACAATTCTTTCGGTTTGAGTATGAGTTTTTTCGTTTATTGTCATTTTGTTGCATTCTTTTCGCTTAGCTAGAAAGTTGTTTCAGTATACTATAGATTTTTTGTGGCACTCTCTGTTGTTAAGTTTTCGGAAATTTTTCCGCTTTGTTCAGAATCTCCTCTCGCTGTCATCCAGAATTTTTCGAAGACATTTTCTTTCTCGAAGAGTAAAACTTTTTTCGATGGACTTTACCATTATGTTTCAGATAAGCTGTTGAAATTTCTGATAATGTGACCTAAATAATATATATTTGTGATCAGAGAATGAGCACTCTTGTGAGACTTTCTCATTCTGGTCCTCGTCTATTAGCCTTGCTGAAAATGTTGTTATATCTAATACCTTCTCTCTAATTCTACAATTAAAACTTACCTGCAAATACTGCATCTTTTTCTGTGTTCATTTTAATCCATTCCAACATTGTATCCAAATCATCGTTTATCAATTTAACATTTGATGAAGGAAAATATTCCTCTTGGATATTCTAAAATTAAATAAAAAAATTAATAGTAATTTTTTTGTTGTAGTTGAAATATGTGTATTTTTGAAAATCTCACCTTAATACCCGGATTAACAATACTCGTCAAGAAGACCAACAAATATGCAGTCCAGAAAATACGACGATTTTTATTTGACATAAAAGAGGAACATATTGTTGAACCAAGTACACAACCTTGTGTAAAACATAGGAAAAATAATTTCTTTATACTTAAACCCATAACTGTGAAAACGGTCATCTGTAGGAAACTGTAGAGATAGTGGAAACTGCGATAATTACAGGTATTTTCATCATCGTCAGCACCGTCATAATCATCATCAGCATTGGAAAGATCATGTTTGCTATGATGATGTTGACGTTTTGTGGATTTTGATTTAGTAGTTGAATCGTTTACTGGTGCATTGGAAGATGTTTGGTTTTTACCATTTACGGACGGTTTTTCAGTTGTTTCTGTTTCTGCTTCATTTTGTTTTTGGGAATTCTTTGTGTCTTGGTTATTTGTAGTATTTGGCGAGGTGATATTGTTTCCATTATCCATATTGTCATTTTCTGAGGATTCCTTTTGTCTTTTAGCTGTTTCCGTTTCAGTTTCTCCTTCTTTTTCTTTTTCTTCACTGTCATTTTTCAATTTCTCTTCAGCTTCGACTTTATGTTCACGTTGTTCGTGTATTTGTTCTTTCAATTTTTTAATATCATTCAAAAAGTCCATGTGTTCATTGGGTTTGTCTTTTTTCGAATTTGTCTTTTCTTTCTTGTAACGTTCATAGTCGTAATCACATTTGGCCAGCAGATCCAAACAATCATTTAGCATAGCTTCGGTTTCTTTCTTTGACATATCCTGCATACTAACATGATTTTCTTCCAGAAAATCTTCCAGGATATATTTCTTAGCTCTTTCAATTACATCCGTATTGGGTTCTTTGACCTCTGTTGATTTTCGCCATTTTCGAAAGAATCTTGCCATAATGACCACACCATAAAGGCAATAGGGTTTGACAATGAGATTCTTTATAAAACCCCATAACTCCGACCATTGCATACGTTCATATTCCGGGTTGCAGGCCGAAAGGCTGGTAACAAAGTTGACCTTGGCCTGTAGCACCCAATGTATGAAGAGATCACGATACAGGGCAAATGTATTCTCTGAAGGCTTGGCCGCACCGGACATTTCGAGTATATCAATTATGGTACCCTGCGAACATATTGATATCAATATGCCCAGTGGTATTGTTTTGAAAAGAAACTCGGCAGTGTTTTCTGTTATAACACTCAACTCGTGTTCTTTTTCCTGATTTGCCGTTGAAGCGGTAGGTTTTTTCAGTAGCCGCATGGCAGTTATCAACGACAGACCCACCAAAGGTCCCAGTTGCCAACCAAAAAGATATCTACGGTTACCAAATGAATAATAATAGGCTAGGAAATTTGATGACAATTGGGATATCACATAATCCATGGTGAAGAGGCCCACAACACGATTGGGTACACCACTTATTGACCATGGTAGCATTAATATAAGAATTTGACTTGCAAAAATAATCGCAGAATACTGCCAGCATAAAAGGGCAACAGTGGTTAAATACACCAGCTTCAGTGACTGCAATGAAAAGAACAAAAAAAGGAAATGGGTTAATCCCCTCAATCACTTAGCAGCCAGTTAGTACACACACACAGGCAACCAAACAAATGTGACTGCATGCTGTGTCTAGTAACACTTACCGTCAACACTGACATCCGATATTTCCTCCTCTCCGTTACCCGATTTATGCATATACACAAATAGAACATCTGTACATAAATCGCTGGAAATGCAAAATTTTCACGAGCCATTGGCCTTTCATAGATTTTCGCCGCAAAACTATGAAACATAATGTATGAGACGACAGCATAAATGCCACCGAATAGATTACGACTCAATAGCAGGCCATACATGTAGATTATTAAGACGGTAAGGCCTCCCAAAAGCCATACACATTCAAAATAGAATTGTAAAGCCTGCCCTTCACAGCGGCCGTGTTCAAGTGTCAGACGTATATCATCAGAACGCCAGCAACTCAATAAAGATAAAATGCCCAGTCGGCTGTGGGAGCGTAATAAATGATAAAGAAATCTATAAAAGAAGAATAGAAAAACATAAAAGAAATTTTGTATCGATTTAAAATATAAAAAATTTTAGTCGGTCATAGTCGAATTGATTGTTATCTGACGGACGGTGGTAGATATAGAGAACTTTTTCAATATTTGAAATTTATTGAAGTGCCTGAGTTTTTACCAATTAATGGAGGCGATTTTTTTGTAATTTTATTCAACTGTAATTTGGCATAACGGGTTTTGACTACAATTTAAAGGATACGCTAAGAGTTTTTTTCGAGCACCAAATAGTGGTGGATTTTTTAAGGAATATGTTTTCGAGCACCAAATAGGCGTGGATTTTTTAAAGAATATTTTTTCGAGTACCAAAATAGGCGTGGATTTTTTAAAGAATATTTTTTCGAGTACCAAAATAGGCGTGGATTTTTTAAAGAATATTTTTTCGAGTACCAAAATAGGCGTGGATTTTTTAAAGAATATTTTTTCGAGTACCAAAATAGGCGTGGATTTTTTAAAGAATATTTTTTCGAGTACCAAAATAGGCGTGGATTTTTTAAAGAATATTTTTTCGAGTACCAAAATAGGCGTGGATTTTTTAAAGATTTTTTTTCGAGTACCAAAATAGGCGTGGATTTTTTAAAGAATATTTTATCGAGTATCAAAATAGGCGTGGATTTTTTAAAGAATATTTTATCGAGTACCAAAATAGGCGTGGATTTTTTAAAGAATATTTTTTCGAGTACCAAAATAGGCGTGGATTTTTTAAAGTACCAAAATATTTTTTTAAAGCAAAGTACCAAAATAGGCGTGGATTTTTTAAAGAATATCAAGTACCAAAATAGGCGTGGATTTTTTAAAGAATATTTTTTCGAGTACCAAAATAGGCGTGGATTTTTTAAAGAATATTTTTTCGAGTACCAAAATAGGCGTGGATTTTTTAAAGAATATTTTTTCGAGTACCAAAACCACCACTTGCTCCTCGATTTGTCCAAAGGACTATAGTAAAAAAGGATTTTTAAGCGACCATCTTCTCCTCTGCCTGACCAGATTAAAAGATTTAATAAACTGTCGCACAATTTGGAATGTTGAAACTGAATGACAAAAATGAACATATTTTCCAAATTTGTGTAGGCGCACACCTTTTCGTATTAGCATTCTATAAAGGTTACCGATAAGTAGGATACACCAAAAACATATTCATAATTAATATCAAAATACTTGATTTCGATCAATATCTTTCACATTTATCTGCCCTCATTTAACAACAAGAACATAAACACAGTAGGTCATTAAAACCATACAATTAGGGTTTGGCGCGATATAATATCATAGCCACTCGCACACACATCCATGCATACCAAAAAAAAAAAAATACTCACCCTATTGTTATCTCAGGCAAGACATGAAATCTGCTTAGAACATTGATACTGTTTGGATATTCAATAGATGTTACATTCATCAGCTCCCAACAACCAGACCAAAAGTCAGGTGCCTCTGTCAGGGTCTTATAAAAACTATGATATAGGGCATCTTCACGCCGGAACAACGATTCACGTTCCAATTGTGTTAAATGGGCCATATTGGTGCGATTCTCAAATATATTCCTGACATGATGAACATAGAGGAAAAAGAAGCCAGTACCTAAAAGGAAAGGGACAAAGCCATAGAAATTATTTGTTCATTTATGCATTTGATTTGGATGGATACCATTGGCACATACCAATTAATGACTGGGCCAACATTAGAATCAATTTCGGCTCCCTCATGTTGCCTGTGTTGCCGCCTTTTGGCCCTCTTTTTTTCCAATGCTTCACCTGACTTTTCACTGAGGTTGTTTACCCTTGACTTCTTGATAAGCAGCACTCACTCAGCAGCAGACACAAGGCCGTTGTCGTCTCAACGACATCAATGCAATGCAAACTTTTGTTGTGTCTGTTGGGGCTTTTTCTTAAAATTCGTTTCGATATCACTCTGGCTTTTATTTATACATGTTGTGGGTCGGCGTATTCCACTGTGGTGACAAACAATTTCAATAATTTTTGAAAAAACAAAAGTAAAGAAAGATTTTCCGGCAGCTCTCCTAAAGTGAAGAAATATGATGAAGTTCAAAGCTTTTCTCCGGGCCTATAACGCCGTAGAAACAAAGTGAACAAATCAAGAACCGATAAAGATTAGAATCAAAACAAATTGGCCGACAATCAAGAGGGTTATGAAGATGAAATTCCCCGCTGGAGTAACAGCTGAGATGACAAAACCGAAATCACCTGTCAAAGAAAACAAAGCCAATTGGAATTTTCACCGCCTGTCAAACAATCGATAACATGTAATATAAAAGAATTTACAGGGTGACACAGAAATACGTAATTTGCAATTGATGTCAACAGGTGTATATTTTGAATAGGATTTTCCAATAAAAAGTGTTATTGTAAAGTGAAATGCAGTTTTTTTGAGATAAAAATTCACTCTATTTTTAGTTATGATATAGTTTCCCTTTGTCAAATGTCAAAGATGGAAAGCATCATAAGTGACAGCTGCCGAAATACTGGATATTTCAAAAGATCATTTATTTTGGTAGCAAATGTGTGGATTATTTAAAGAATTATAAAAAGCGGCGGTATTCAAAAAATTATATAAATCGTTGATTTTTAAAGGATTGCAAAAGGCGTGGATTCTTCGAAGTACTATATAAATCGTTGAGATTTTAAAGGACAATCTCAAGAGTGAATTTTTAAAGGACTATATAAAGTGGGGATTTTTTCAAAAGTGGACTTTTAAAAAATTATAAAAATTGATTTTCTCAAAGTCAATTTTTTCCATAGAACTATATGAAGCGTGGATTAAAAAAGCGATTGTTGCCGACGATGCTACCACTGAATTCAAGAGACTTTTTAGTTACATAGGCGATCACATTACACCCTTCAAGTGTTTTGTCTATGTAGTAAGATATGCCCATGGTACAATACCATGGATATGCCCAAATAAATTCAAAATAAATTGAAATATATTCAAATTTAATTGAAATGAAAATTATGTTTTCAACATGTTCGTCTGGAAGTAATTATTTTTTATGGATGAAACAAACATTTGATGGTATTCCCTACTGGATTTTGGGAAGAAATCATAACCTTTCATTCATTTTTCGCGTTTTTAGTTTTGTGTTGAAAAAATGTCAAATAAACACAAACACTTGTTGCGTATAGTTATTTTATTTTTGGCAGAAGAAGCCACACGTGCATAATTGCTTTTTTGTTATTCACCTCAAGCTGCCCTACCTTGTATTATTGTACCATGGGATATGCCTAGTAATTAAGTTTTTTATGTTCTGTTTTTACATTGTTATGCAAAAAATTAACAATTACATTTAACAAGGGATTTGACAAGTAAAAATATTCCGCACTGCCCGTTAAAAATCACACAACGGTTAAAAAAGTAAAAATAACTTTTTCAGTATCACCTCACTTTTTCCTTAGATCTCAATAAATATAGAAACAATTGGTCTGTTCCCGTACTGCAAGATTGTACGAGATTTTACTATTTTTTCGTAGTAAAAAGTGGTAGATTCTTGCAGACGGGAACAGACATTCTATTTTTTGTCATTTTTTTCTCGGAAAATAAAAATTACTTACTTTAATTTTAACTTACGCAGCACTAGAACCGATCTCCCCATAATCCACAAATAAACTAATGGTCTGTTCCCGTACTGCAAGAATCAAGATCTATTAATAAGGTCACCAAGATAACAATCGAAATCGGAAAACAGCTGTTTTTTCTCAAGTCTAATGTCAAAAATTTCGAATTTGTTTGCGTTTTCATAATGGAAGTCAATTCACAATAATGCATTTTGACAGTAAACTTGAGAGGTATCGATAATCAGCTGGTCTCCCTTGGTGACCTTATTTATAGGCCATGGCAAGAATCTAATCATGGCCTATAAATAAGGTCACCAAGGGAGACCAGGTGATTATCGATACCTCTCAAGTTTGCTGTCAAAATTATTGTGAATTGACGTCCATTATGAAAACGTAAACAAAGTCGAAATTTTTGACATTAGACTTGAGAAAAAACAGCTGTTTTCCGATTTCGATTGCTATCTTGGTGACCTTATTAATAGATCTTGAATCTAATACTTTTTACTACGATAACAAATTTTCCTTTATGTTATCGAAGAAAATAGTAAAATCTCGTAGATTCTTGCAGTACGGGAGCAGACCATAAACCAGTTTTTTTTTTTGTCTAATTTGCACAATTCACAGATAACTGCAAAGTTACGACAAAAATTCAAATGTAACGGTACAATACAATTATTGTTGCAAATCGCTTTTTTAAAAGAAGGATGTTACAAAAAAGACACTTTTTCTCTTGGAAGTGTGACAATACTTTTACAAATATAACAAGCCGCATTTCACCAACAAATCTGACGCCGCAATATTAATTCATAGGGGCTCCAAGTTGTCGGTTGGGAAGTAAATCGATTAGTCGAAAGTCGATTTACTTATCCCTAATCATAATTTGCCTTAACCTCATTCGTAAACAACACGGTTTCCTTTTAGTCTTAGTCTCCATCCCACCTCATTCGTAAACTTTCGGTTATACCATTTTGAGTTCATCTTTATCGGCCATTTTGTCTTCTCCTCCCATTCGTTAGCAAGTGGAACGCTTTTCAATTTTTTCAGTACGACGTCGCTTGAGTCTTGGCAACTACCAACTACCCAACTCTACCCGTAATTTACTCAATTGCTGAGAATTTTTAGTCCCAAGCTAATTTGATTCCAAACTCTATTAATGCACATCTACGAATAGTTAAAAAGCCTATCCAATTGTCATCATGTGTGTGGTCATTAATTTGGATGTTGTGTGCCTGGTGTGTTTGCATCATTCCGCAGAAATGCATAGCATCTTTGATACGGCATCCGATGAGAATGATATTCAAATAGCCCAAAAGATTTCCACATTGTCAAAGCTGAAGGTGGATTCCAAAAATGAGCATTTACCGGATAAGATATGTGATGGTTGTCTAAAAGATCTCAAGGCTGCCTGGAGATTTCATAGGAATTGTCAAACGGCAGTGGCTGTTTTTCAGAGTATCCTCAAACCAATACTAAAGCTACGAGAACAAACAGAAACGAAAAGTATTGAAAATCAGGAATCGGAAGACAATGTTACGAACGAACCAACGTCTTCTTCCTCCTCGGGTGAACAACACGGAGCCGTAGAAATGACAATTAAAGAAATGTTCGATGAAGACCAGCCGGACCATCAACTAGCAGCTGTAATTGAAAGCACGGATGAACAAGATATTGTTGATGAGTCGTCCATGGTTGCCGAAGAGGTGGAGGAGGAAGAAGAAGAAACAGCTGTTAAAGAAGAAACCGTCAACAAATTTGTGGAACTAAATCAATGCATTACCGAAGAAGACCACGAGGAAGATTTTCAATCGGTCGATGATGGTGCCACCTATGAAACTCAAGGACTTGTAGAGTATTATTTAACGGATGATAATGAAGAAATCAAAAGAGTTAGTAAGGCAAAACAGCCCAGAATACTGAAAAGCGAAAAAGATACTTCGACCATAGCATCTAAGAAAATGATTGTTCAGTCTGCAAGAGATGACACAAATGTATCCACTTCAAGTATGGCAACCAGAGGAATTGTTACTCGGGCACTGGAACGAAAATCGGAAGCATCGAAAATTGTGAAATTTGCTACTGCCGCAAGACGAAAACAAATTCAATATCAACCCGCCACATCGAAAACATCCCAACAACAAAGGATCCCACAACAAACAATTGATTCGGAAGACAATGCAAGTCAAAGTAATGCCGAATCTGAGACAAGTTCACGCAAACGGAAAGCAGGCACAGCGGCAGGAACGAGGGTTCCAAAGATATGCGAAATATGTGGCAATTCGTATCGCTTCCAGCATGCCCTCAATGCCCATATGCGTCGTCATTTCGACGATAAACCTTTTCCCTGTGAAATGTGCTCCAAGGCATTTGTTTCCAATGTGGAACTGCGTCGCCACATGCGCGTACACACTGGCCAGAAGCCGTATGCCTGTCAGTATTGTGATCGTCGCTTTTCCGATTATGGATCCCGGATAAAACATGAACGCACCCACACCGGTGAACGACCATACGGTTGTGCAACATGTGGCAAAACATTTGCCTATCCTCATGTCCTGTCCGTTCATCTGAGAACCCATACGGGTGAAAAGAAATTCAAATGTAGTTATTGTCCCAAAGGATTTACGAAGAAAGCGTATTTAATTACCCACATGGATACGTATCATAGCAACGTGGGAGATGTTACAACATATGAATTGACTATGGAGGATGATGATGGGGATAACGTCGAAACCGATAATGAACAATTGGGGGATGCAATGTTTACACCCGAGTTCATTATTGATGACCAACAACAGGAACATCAAGATAGAGGTCAAATTGATAAAAGTCATCACCACAAACTGGAAGAAGGTGACGGAGATGATGATGATAATGATAATAATGTTGATGATGACGATAACAGAAATGCCCAAATGCTAGTACCAAAATCACTTTTACGCCTGAAAAGTGAAAATAATACCGAAGATGATAACGATGTACAAGAAGTTGAAATCCATTTGGATGAATATACAATAAGAGTACGATAAGTGTTTGATTTTTAATTTTTCAGAATTTGGAATAGATTTACTGTTATAACTATGCAGTTGTAAATAAACAATTTGTGTGTACAACAAATAAACCAAGGATTACAATAGATATTCCCTTCTGTTGAAGCAGCCATGACCCATGATATATATATTTCGAATAAGTCCATACTTACCTATGTTTGTTGTTTGAAGTTTTTGTTTTGAATTTCAAAAACGATTGTTTGGCATTGTTTGGTATTCGAAGTATTCGTTTTGAATTTGAAATCCAAATGGTTGGTATTCAAAGTATTCGTTTTGAATTTCAAATGGTACGTGTTGGTATTCAAAGAGAAATGCTTGGTATTTGATTTATTCGTTTTGAATTTCAAATGCTATGTTTTGGTATTCAAATTATTCGTTTTGAATTTCAAATGACATGTTTTGGTATTCAAAATATTCGTTTTGAATTTCAAAGTATTCTTTTTGAATTTGAAATGCTATGTTTTGGTATTCGAAAAATTCGTTTTGAATTTTAAAGTATTAGTTTTGATATTCAAAGTATTCGTTTTGGTTTCAAATTGTACGTAATGGTATTCGAAATATTCGCTTTGCATTTCAAATGTTATGTTTTGTTTTTGGTATTCAAAGTATTCGTTTTGAATTTCAAATGCTAGGTTTTGGTATTCGAATTATTCGTTTTGAATTTCAAATGCTATGTTATGGAATTAGAATTATTCGTTTTGGTATTCAAAGAATTCATTTTGAATTTCAATTCTGTGTTTTGGTATTCGAATTATTCGTTTTGGTATTCAAAGCATTCGTTCTGAATTTCAAATGCTGTTTTGGTATTCGAATTATTCGTTTTGGTATTCAAAGTATTCGTTTTGAATTTCAAATGCTATGTTTTGGTATACGAAATATTCGTTTTGTATGTAAAAGTATTCATTTTGAATTTCAAATGATATGTTTTAGTATTCGAAGTACTCGTTTTTAATTTCAAATGCTATGTTTTGGTATGTGAAATATTTGTAAGGCAGGGAAGACTTTAGTTTCGGATCTCGCCACTGATCCTCATCAGTTCGTTTAGTTTTTTTTTTTTTTTTTTGATATTCTTCCTGACTTGTTAAAAAATATTATTTTTTAAACAACGTAATAAACAAAAACACATTCCTTGTATTTTTATGTAAAATTTTATTTACAAAAAAGATACCTTAAACTAAAAAATGTAGATAATTCTATACCATCTTAAAACATTGTTTAATGTTCTACTACTTTGAAGCTTGGGCGGCAGCCTTCTTTTCAGCCATACGTTTGTCACGCAGCATTTGATAAGAAACTCCGGGATCTTTGTGTGTACTACGTGGGAAACGTTTAACTTTAGGTTTCTTCTGTTTACCAGTTGCCACGCTAACAGGCAGAATATTACGTTTCTGGAAGTTCTTGAAACGATCAACCAATAGACTTGTACCCGTCTGTATGTTACGTACATTACCAGCCAATTCTTCGGGCATATTTACATCCTGATCGGGTTCATTGAATTTCAAACGTCCCAGACGTTTTGTTTCGAATTTCTTTTTAAATTCAGCCTTTTTGCGTCGTTTCATTGCCTCCTTGAGTTCTTCTTCTTCGATCAGAACTTCAGTTTTTAATGATTTGATACGATTCAAATCGGCTATTTGTTTCTTTAATGCTTTCTTCGCTTCCAGTTTCTTTTGTAGCTCTTTTTGGCGGAGTTCTCTATTGCGTTGTGCTTTACTTTTCTTTTTATTTTCTACTGGTGGATTTATGCTGTCGTATGGAGCTGAATCATCGGAATTGTCTTCTTCGCCTTCTTGATCTTCTTTCTTGGCTTTCTTTGATTTTTTGCCAGCATTATTTTCATCACCTTCATCGTTATCTCCTTCTTCAGCTTCATCCTCATCATCGTCCAGGCCGGCGCTCATTTCTTGTATGTGCTGTTGTTGCCTTTCCTCAGCTGTAACCTTACGGAACATTTGGGTGGTAACACGTTTTAAATGTTTCTCTTCCTTAATGAGTTTTTCTTCTTTCTCAACAATGTCGGAAATAAGCTTTTGATGATCTTGTAGAGATGGATTATAGCTTGTACCGGGATGGGGTGGTTCAAATTTCCTATAAAGAGAAAAAATCAATCAATTAATTGAATGTAATCAAATTAACAAAATGGATAATTTTAGTAAACTATAATTGAACCTATGAAAGATTTTATTCTTCGGCAGATTTTAAAAGTATACAATATCTTCTGCCATTAAAAGACGTCCAACAGAAATTCTATGTATGGAAGGTGTATAAAACCCCGATTATCCCATTAGAAGACTTCAAATAGACATGATGTCCCATCTTTACACAAAAACCTTCTACAAAGTCTATACAAAGGCCCCCACCAACATATTTTTAATCCATATCAAATGATTGAGAATAGCTAGAATATTTTAATCATTGAGAATAGCTATGATTTACTACTTACTTGGCTTTGGTAGTTCTATGCCTTATACTATCATGAATTTTGTACACTGGCAGTCCCAGTTTTTGTGCATTATATTTGGCCAATTCTTCTGATATCCAACCCTTTTCATCTTTCAAACCAGGCACCTTTTCACGGAAATCTTCTTCTTGCCAAATATCTTTATTCGTATCGGGTATTTTCGTAGCTAATTTCTTGACTTTTTCTTCAACCTTGGCATAGGTTTTGGCTCGATCTTGATTTGCTTGAATGTGCCTGGGCTTAGTGGGATTGATGACTTCCTCTTCAATATTGCGGCCAGCTTTCTTTTGTTTGACAATGTTTCTATAGGAAAAACCAAAGAGATTAGTTATTTTTATATATGGAATATGTAAATATATTACCTCTTAACAATGGGATCCTGTACCTTCGAAGTATTCTCCAATACTTGCAAAGAACGTAAGGGCTTTTTGGCATTCAATTTCCGTTTTTGTTTTTCTGTTAAGGCTGTGGGCTTCTTAGCATCGGCTGGGGTTACATCGATTTTAAACAATTCCTCATCTTTCTTTTCGGTAAATGTTCTGGATAGAGATAGGTGGAAAATAATTCCAATTAACATTTTTTTGTTTGTGGTTGGATGGTTTGTCTTACCCAATTCTTTCCTCCTGTCGCTGTTCTTCGAGATATTCCTCAACATCTTGGATATCTGTTTTCCTCCATGCTGATTTATTTTTCTTCGAAATACGTTTTTTCTTTTGCACCGACATCTTTTCTCCAATTAAATAAAAATATATTTACTTCGATCTGTCTGATGTACCACATCTACAATGCACGTGTTGACGGCAATAGTTTAGGTGCGACTTTATTATGGCGTATGGCAACTGTTAATATAATGATGAATGCATTTTTTAGCCAACAGCTGTCAAATGAAACGTCAAACTGAATTAATGAATTATAATGTTAAATTTTTTAGACGAATCTGAAATAGATGAGTGGATTTTCAATTGGAATTTGAATTCTAAGCTTGAGTTTTTAAAGAATATCTTTCAAGGAGAATCTGAACTAGAATGGTTTATATTTTAGTAAATATTCTTCAAGATAAATCTGAACTAGAAGCGTAGATTTTTAAAAAATTATTATTCAATGGGAATCTGCAAACGTATGTAAGCGTAGATTTTTTTGAAAAATTTCAAAAGAAATTTTAACAATAATCTTGGAATTTTTTGAGAATATCTTTTAGGGGAATCTGAACTAATAGTGTGTATTTGTTAAAGAATATTGTTCAATGGAAATATATGGATTTTTAAAATGTTTTTTTTTTTTTAGGAAAATCTGAACTAGAAACATTAATATTTTAGATAATATTTTCCAAGGGACATCTAAACTAGTATGATGGATTTTATAAAGAAGAATTTTAAAAGCAAATGTGAACTAGAAGCTTGGAATTTTTAAGGAATAATTTCCAAGAGAAATTGTTATGAATTTTTTAATAACAATTTCTCAAATGAATCTGAACAAGAAGCTGCCAAAAGTTTTCTATAAATGTTACTTCCCTACTTAGCTGGCTTATGACAAAACGGTTGCTCCAAAAGCCGAGCTTAAAAAATATTTCGAAGCGCGTCGGTCTTCTGCGCATTTCATCCAATTTGAAAGGCCATTTTCCGAGATGTTGTCCATTACTTAATTTTTCAATCAGATTCGTGGCCTTCCCTATAAATATTACGATATGCTAATATCGTAAAAACCCAGCTGTCATTACCTATACGTTTGTCAGTAACTTCTGACGCCGTCGCCAATGCCTCCAACAACGGCTATCACCAACATTTTAAAATTGTCCGGCTAGGGTGTCTGCAGCTTTCTTCACATTCTTCGTTCTTGGCCAAAAAACATCAAAATTCCAATCTCACATAGCACGGCCGGACATCAGCATCCCCAGCTCTCTCTTGGCAGTGGCCTAATGTTCATCTTCATTGAATAGCTGTAAACATCAATCGTTAGTCGTGAAGAAGAGCTGTGAGCGGCAGCAACAAGTTGATTCGAACCGTCTAAGCCAGCCACAGACAGCCGGTCGGTTAATGAGTTCTAACTGTCGAATCCAAAGAGAAACATAAACGTGGCAACCAATCATCATCATAAATGGTCTTAATGATTTATACCAGTTGTTGAAATCGTTGCTGTTGTTGTTTGTGTGAAGATTACGAAGAAAAATTTTAATCACCATGTTACCTCCACGTTACCACCGTCACCTGCTGTTGGGTCTGGTCTGTATGTTAGCTTTACCATCCGTTTGCTTGGGTCTACTGGAAGGCCTATATTGTGGTAAACAAAATTGTTATGATGTCTTGGGTGTTACTCGTGAATCTACCAAATCGGAAATTGGCAAGGCGTACCGGGTATTGGCTCGAAAACATCATCCGGATTTGCATCGAACGGAAGAGGCTAAGAAGGAAGCTGAGATACAATTCAAAGCCATTGCCACGGCTTATGAAATTCTAAAAGATGATGACTCTCGCAATGATTATGACTACATGTTGGATAATCCAGATGAATACTATGCCCATTACTATCGTTATTATCGCCGCAGAGTGGCTCCCAAGGTGGATGTGAGAATTGTTATTATTGTCACATTGACAATTATTTCCGTGATACAATACTACTCGGGATGGCAGCGTTATGATTCGGCCATTAAATACTTTGCCACGGTACCAAAATACCGTAACAAAGCTCTGGAAATAGCTAAAGAAGAAATTAACGAAAAGGTTCATAACCGCAAGGGAAAGAATCGCCTCTCCAAGGCAGATCAAAAGGAAGAAATCGAAAAAATCATAATTAAAGTAATCGAAGAGAAGATGGACGTTAAGGGTGGTTGTGCCAAACCCACGATTTGGGATATACTCTGGGTGCAAATAATCATATTCCCCTATACGCTGGCCAAATGGCTGTGGTGGAATATTACCTGGACATGGAAATTCACAATTTGTAAAAAACCCTACGGACGAGAGGAGAAGCTGTATTTAATAAGACGTAACATGAAAATGGGTGAACATCAATTCAGTTCTCAGGATGATAAACAAATTGAGGAATATTTACGTTTAGAACTTTGGATTAAGGAGAATTTCGAAGAGTGGCGTATACAGGAAGAGGAGGAGCTAAAAAAGAAAATGGCTGAGAATCCACGTTACAAGTCCTATCGTAGATATATGAAAAATCATGGTCCAGGACGTATGACTTTTGAAGACTAAATTAACTAAAAAAACAACAACAACTAGGCTTTATTGTTAAGAGACAACATAGGTGACTATATATTTATATTAAGTATGTAATTAAAAAAAAAAGAATTTCTTATATGATGATGATGAATGTTTTGCATTAATTTAATTTTGTTTAATTGTAAGACCAGTGTTTGTTTACCTATTCCTCCAGAAACACAATTTTTTATGAAAATAGTTTAGTAACATTTTTTTATATAAAACGAAACTGAAAAAAACGATGAAAAAAATAATTGTTTTATTTGAGGGAAAATTATCAAGATATAAAAAAAGAGACATTGGAATTGGATTTCAAGATAAATTCACATTTTTTTACAAATGTGTCCCGAAAATGATAGATAATTAATAAAATTGGTATTTGATATTATTTTGGACTTAAGAAAATTTTATTGCCACACATTAAATTCAATCCATGATCACAATTTAAAAAGTTTTTAATTACTTTTTGAATATTTTAAAATTAAAGATTTTATATTTGGATATTTAATTGGAAGTTTTGTATTTAATAAGAGGATATTTTTTTAATTTAATTTATTTTTATTAAAAATTTTTGATTTTTAATTCATTTTCTAAGAAATAGTTTCCAAAGGGAATCCGTAATATAAGCGTGGATTGTTTAAAGAATATTTTTCAAGGGTAATCTGAAATATATTAAATATTTGAAGGGGAATCTGAAATAGATTCATTAAAGAATATAATTCAATCTGAACTATACGCATGGATTTTTTAGAATAAATTTCATGGGATATCTGAAATAGAAGTGTGGATTCTTTAAAGAATATTTTTCAAAATATTTAATATTACTTTGAATTAAAAAAAATTAAAAAATGTTAATATTTAATTCAATCCATGATTATAATTACTTTGTAGTATTTTTCAACGAGAATCTGCAATAGAAGGAGAATCTGGACAAGAAGCGTGAATTTTTTAATACAATTTTTTTCAAGGGGAGTCCATAATATAAACGTGAATTATTCAAAGAATATTTTTCAAGAGAAATCTGAAATATGAACGTAAATTTTTTAAGGAATACTTTTCAAAATATTTAAATTTTTTAAAAAAATAGTGTTGATATAAAATTCAATTCATGATTACAATTTAAACAGTTTTTAATCTCTTTGTAGTATTAAGTTAATGGAAATTCTAAATATTTTGATTTACATTTTGATATTTAATTGAGAGTTTTGTAATTCAATATTCTAAATTAAATAGTGTGTATAGTTTTAATTTTTTTAATGTTCAATTTTTAATTGAGTTCTTTGAATTGGAAAATATAATTAATAATTAAAATTCCAAACTTTATAATCTTGTATTTTGTAGTTATTTTTTGTATTTTTTTCTTTTTAATTTAGTGTTATGTATTGTTTGTCCTCCCATCTAGAAATATTCTCCAGAGACCCCATAAAGTAAATATGCATGTCAATTCTATATCCGTCTGTCTATTGAAATCAAAACGCTGCATTGAAAATGGTATCTTCGAGTAGAATCTTAGTTGCAGTCAAAATTTTTGTTTGGGTTTCTGTGAATAATTACTACTTTTACTAGTATTGCTTGTCAAGTTAGTGAAATGTACATGTATTATTCTTGGCCCGCAATTGTTATCGTGATTGTTAAAATTTTCTTGTTTTATTTTATAGTCGAAGATTTTCGCGTTATTGTTTATTATAAGTGTAATTATGAGATTTGTAGACTGGTAATTTCTTAAATGTGGTCTGCGGACTTTGAAATTATTGTGAATACATAAATTAAAAAAAAAAAAAAAAATATAGGTCCAGGTTTTTGGAATAGTCCCAATGTAAACGGTATTAAATCGAATTGGCTACAATTTGATATTTTGGTTTCCCCAAATTTCCCACCAAAAATTATCCACATTGGCCCACATTTTGTATTTTGGGGATTCCCTAAAAGGGGTTAAGCCAAATTGACTGTCATTTTGTAGTTTTTGGTTATCATTGGGTGGCAAATCTTCCACCTGAATTGATCAATGTTGATTTTGATTTTTACTTTATTTTCAAGGTCCTATCCAATTTTTCGACCAGGGTGCCTGTAGTTTGGTATTTCGTTTTCTCCTGACAACAATTTAGCTACCACGGCAGAACCTCCATATAAAAGTTTTTATATTCAATTTAAAATATTAAAATCAAAATCCAATTATTAAAAATCAATTTATCGAAATTCTTAAGGCTATTTAATATCCTTTAGCTATACCCATTTTTAAGTTCAAAATTTTTTAATTAATTTAAATTCATGATTTTTTTTTATTGATTTTAAATATTCGATGTAATATTTAAAAGGTGCAGCATTACCTATCTTTTCTTTTATGAACATATTTAATTGACCTTTATTTATATTTATTTTAATATCAGTTTTATTAATAATCAATTTAATATTTAAATGTGTAATAACTTCTAATTTACTAAAAATGATTTTTGAAGACCTAATTGAAACTTTTTAATATTAAAAAAAATTTTCATTTCTTTTCAAAGAAAATGCGATAGGAAACAAGAATAAAATTACTTAATTCTCTCTTCTTGTCTGCTGGCTGTCTATTTGTTAATACTTAAAAGAGTATTGACCTTTTATGAATATATATTTTTTTTTTTGTATACAATTTTAAGAAGAAGAGTTTTGCAAAAGCACCAACATCATTTCACTCGAACACGTTTTATCTAACATAAGGGATTTTAAAATTCTAACCGGTTTTCCATATTGGTGGTATCTTCAACAATCGAAATAAAATTGTCTATTGATGTAGGCATCTGCTTTTGTTATTAATTTTAAGATAATCAAAATATTGTTGATTCATGTTCCAAAAAAGAAAAAAAAACATGTTGGTGTTTGTTCAAGTGCTTCGGACTCGTGTATGTGTGTCTGTGTTTGCTTTTGTGGAACTAGATCAATTTTTTGAATATTTATTTAGCTGTATTTTTTTGGGGTTTAACTTTTGTGATGACTTTCTACGTCACACATTTTTTATGTTTGTTTGAAAATAAAATATTTAAGCTAAAACTCAATAAAACTCAATTTACAAAAAATCCCCTATAATGTAAATTATTTTAACAGCTTTAATTTAAAACGATATATTTGATTTGAGTTCCATATACCAGATATTTCTTTCTGAGCATCTTTAGATGTGCCTTTTTTCGGGAATACTAAATTTATAATGATATAAAAAAAAATTACCTTTATAATTCAAAATATTGTAAATAAACCATTTATTCCCCAAGTAAATAAAAATACCAATTTCAGAAATTTTATTTTCTTTAACATTACTTTTTTTCTATTACCTTCACTTTAGCCCAGCATTACTTTGTAAGCGCCTAAAAGTATACTTTAAATTACAATAGCAAAACACTTCATTTTAAATGCTGATACTTTTCATTTATTTATTGCTTTAATTTTAAACTAATTATCTAAATGCAATGAGATTAGAAAAAATGGCTTTAATTTATAACTATATAAATATTTATTTATTATATATGACACATATAATAAATTACAAAAAGTAAAAGTTTGTATTCCATTTGCGGTACATGTTGTTTTATTCTTTTTCCCTTTGTTAACAAGTCAATTTAAATTTGTTAGTTTTTTTTATCAAAAGAACTTGAAAAAACTGGCCTTCAACAAGATAAGGAAATGCCAAATGGAGATTTTATTTTGATAAGAGTAGAACATCATATCGGCAAATGTTCAAAGTTGCACAGCACAATAAATTTAAAAATTGATATATTCTGGGGATTTTCATGAGACTTTACATATTATAAGGATGACGTTCTTAAAATCTATATATATGTGATGGCAAGTGTATGATGTTTGTTTTTAATCTAAACCAAACTATTTTTTTTTTGATTTGCCTAAATAAATCAAAAAAATGGTGGGCGAATTGTTAGTTTTTGAAGGGGTAGTAGTTAAAAAATATATATTTATATGGAACATTTTCCAAATACCCTGATTCGATTTGAATTTTCTATAAACAAAAAATAGTAATTAAAAAATCTTTGGTAAAATAGTAGATTGAGAGCTACACTGAGACAAAAAAAAAAAAAAACGAGAGAGAGACGACCTAACCAAAACTGAAACGAAAAAAATTGTATTCCAAGTTAAGGGGTTAATTTCACAGATGCATGCGTTGCCATAATTTACTCATGCGGGTATTCGTATCGAATATACTGCGCACCAGGAAAACTTGTAACAAACCCACAGCAATCATGGCGCAAATTTGAAACAATGACCATGTATTCACTTTAATGAAATTCGATTCAGCCAAATTACGATCGCGTGCCTCATGCGACCTTAACATATCCTGGATCTGTCGCGCTTTAGTCATTTGCATGCGAATACGCCCTATGTAATCCATAATATCTTGTACTTTCATGTCATAGAATTCTTCTGGTGTTAAACCCTCGAATACATCATTCCACTGATCATCGCCCAAATTTTGTTCACCCTCCTTTTCGACAATCAATTCAAAGAAGACCGTCTTTCTATTGAATGTACTGAAGGTGTTGTCGAAACAGAAACGATAGTCACCCTCCTTTTGGACATCATGACGATGTATATTCTCTGGTTTCTTAAAATCGCTAACAATTATCAGTCCAATGGGATCAGCCAACGAAAAACTAATATCCAAATCTCCGTGGCCACCGTCTATTACCTGATATTCAATATCGATGGTTTCGCCGGCTTTGACAGGATGAAAATAGCATTCTTTCTTTCCCGCATCGATGTGAACAGTCATTTCCTTGTCGTATGAATCAACCACAGCCGCCAGCAGCACAACGCCAAGGGTCAACCAAAGCGACCTGCTCGTATGACATTTTCTCATATTCTAAAAATAGAATATTGAGCATGTTAATTGAGAATTTAATGAAATTTAAATAGAAATTACCATTTTTTGTGTTGAAATGCAAATCCAATCAATTCCAAACAAACGCGTTGATTGCTTTGTGTGTTGAGTGAAGCCGAATGAAATAAACCGAACAAATTTAAAAACGTTCCACACGTTGAGAAGTTGGGAATAGAGGAAGACAACGGAGAATGTTTACGAAATGTGTGTAATGCATAACGCCGATCATCTTGAACGAGACATGGACGAATGTCAATCAGCTGATAGATGTAAAAATAGGTGGGACTAAGTCAATTTTTGCTATACAATTCGAAAGGAAATTGGAAACCCGGTTATTAGACCTGGAAGTTCGGGTATATACCTGGTTCCACGAAATCGGTTTTAAGGACCAGACGACCCTAAATAACGAATTTCTAGGACCTAGGTAAACAGCTTTCGTAAGGTTATTTCCCTGGGTGTTAGACGACATCGTGCCCATCAGTGCTTCACCATTTGCAGTTAGGATACCAAAGTTGATCTTAAATCTTTGAGGCAAAATAAATTCCCATTTATGCGTGGCATGATTCAGCTTTGCAAGCATCCACAAAATGTTTGGTACGAACATCGATGGAGTGGTCTTCGATAATCTCATTAATTTCTCCTCGCATTCAAACTACATACACCAACCAGAAGGTGAAAGTTAGGAATAAAGTTCTGAAAGCTTTGGCTGGCACCTCCTAGGGCAAGGATAAAAAAGTCGTTGGTAACGACTTCTTTCCTTAGGGACAAACAATGGAGATCCCTGCATACGGCACAAATAAATGCACTCCGAATTGCTACCGACTCTGCCAAGAAGACGTGCGTCGATCACGTACATGTGGAGACCAGGATGCTGTCAAACAACATAATGTGTTGTTGACGGGACAGTTTCTGCTGGTATGCTACCTGCGTGCCATCCAAATCACACAGTGATGGCAGATCTGCTCCGCGACACATCCGCTCTTCAGACGCTATCGTGATGGCATCCATCATTCCATCGAACGTCAACAAATTGTCGATAACGAACGCGATGAAAACCGTGCATCAACTGACGGTCTCCGAAGCCATAAGTCTGGGTTTATCTATTCAACTATTTTCAACTGCTTCTCTCTACGATTCTCTTTTGAATTTCTTTCCCCTTATCACTTTTTATACCTCTCACTTCTAAGAACTCATCAGAGTTGCGTACAAAAGATACATGAATAAATAGCTACAGATGCAATAAAGTCCTACTCCAACACCCTCCTGTAACTTCGGAGAGTGAGGAGCTTCTACCTAGGCAAACCCGTTCGATTCTCGCAGAAACAAGGTCCAGCAATGTACTCAATTAGTATCGGCAGCGCCCCCTGTAACTCTAAATAGGTATCCCTCCTGACAGCAAATCCCTCACGACACACCCAATCCGTCCGAGCTTACATGTTTATTGCCTATAGACTTATGACTAAAGCTAATAGAAGTGACATAGTTTCTCCGGCTACCCCCTTTAAATCCTAAGCCCTAATTATAATTATTGTTTTTCCTTTGTTCCCCCAACGGAGCAGAGAACTTTGAGTTTCCCGCGCATAACCGGGTATATGATGCTAGGGACTTCAAATCAATCAGAACCTTCTAGAGGGTCTCCGAATGATGAGAAATTGCTGATGCCATGTAACAATGTAAAAAGGACTCCGGAAAGGTAACCATGATGCAGCCCCCTTCTGAGTAACGAAACAACACCCTAAATCTACAATCTTATGAAACCCCAAACCAGATTATTGTCAAAGAGCAGTTGTTGTTTGCTATGCGGAGGTCTAGGGAATCACTGCTTAGTGTCAAGGTAGATCAATTTTTTTATTACATTTATTTTAGGATGTAAAAAGTTTGAATGAAATAGAGTGTTCCGTACTTCCCGGCCGATAACCAATAATTTTAAATATTTTAATATGGTTTCCCAATAAAAGTAATAAAAACTAAGGTTTTTTGAAATTTCGGAGTCCCGGAAGTACGGAGTTCATTATTTCAATACTTTATTTTAAATCACGAACTCTTTTATTCCGAAGAGCAGCAGTTCTAATCCATATACCTAATTAAATCTACATTGGGTTCAGCGACTTGCAGCTGTTTCCACCATTTAGCTCTTCTCATTCGTAAACATAATGCATGCTTTTTTGCCTTCATGCTTTCCACTCTCATTCGTAACATGCACCAGTTGTTTGGTACATCAGCAAAAATCCGGAATTTTGTGTCCTAAGGTTCAGACGGACTGAGCGATCGTTTCATAGCACTGCCAATAAATATCGAAATTGCAATGGAAAATCCTTACCACACATTACTGCAGAATGTAACACAACATTTTGTTGAATTTCCCCAAGGTAGTCCCGAAGCCATAGACAATTGTCATCACGCCTCTACCTTAATCAGAATCCACAATGAAAAATTGGTGGCCAATGGAGATGTAAGCTTTCCGTTGACTTCAGAAATTTGGTTAAAGTATTTTCCATCCACAAACGGGTTCACATTAAAAACGGAGGCCTTTGATAAACTCAGTGATTCCCAAGAAGCCAATACCACCAATGATCTAATAGATGTATCCAAGTCTTGGACATTCCCTCTTGCCAAATTGAATATAAAACAAGAGAGGTGCCATTTATATTTGCAAAGGTCAACGATAATTAAATTGTTGATTCAACAGGTATTGTGTGATAGTTCCTACGGTCACCTGAGGAAAAGTGACAAACGTTATGTCCATGTGAAACCATTACAAGAATATGGTTTGAAAGCCGAAGATCTTTCGTATTATCGTACAAAGCTTATGTATGATACCTTACGAAAATTGCTGGCCTATTCAAAATGGAATATTGTGGATAAAGAAGAGCAAGAGGAGGAGAAATCTATTATAAATGTGAATATTTTAAGTGTTGCCTCAAAAGTACCCTCCGATAAAGTGGAAGGCAATTCTACAGTTAAAATTAAATGTGGTTTAGTTACTGATCCCTCTACCAAGGGGAAAATTTGTCAATTACCCACCCAGGAATATATAAGGTATAAGTAGCCATAATAATTGTCTTTAACTTTTTTTCTGAAAATTTTCTTTTTTTTATTTTTTATCATTTGCCATAGTTTGCGTTCCAACGACATGTGTTTAATGGCCCTGCATAAATATGGTGTTCGTGTGAAGCAAGATGCCCGATTTTGTGCTCTCATGGAACGTCTTGGCTGTGCTGCTGTCACCGTGGATTTACTTGAAGTTAAACATACAAGTCCCGTACAGATAATACGCAATGGTCAGGGCAGTACAAAGGGTGCTTCATTTATCCTCTATAATTCGGCACGACTTGAATCATTGCTACGGACATTTGACGAGCGAATTGAGAAGAGATCTTATGAACCAATACCGGACATATGTGATATCGATTGGAATTTAATTAATGAAGAGGTTAGTTTACTTTTGATTTTCTAAGGGAAAGGGTTCAGAACGCTAAGTCTAAATCGGCAAATTTAAAGAATTTGTAGGTACTTTCGAGACAAAAGCCTACATTTAAAAAATATTTTCAGAGGCTAATGGTAATTTTTTTAAAGAATATATTTTCAACGACCAACAGAGGCGTTTTTAATGAATATGTTTTCAACGATCAAAAGAGGCGTGGATTTTTTAAAGAATATTTTTCAAGTACCAACAGAGCCATGTATTTTTTAAAGAATATTTTTCAAGTACCAACAGAGGCGTAGATTTTTTAAAGAATACTTTTCAAGTACCAACAGAGGCTTGGATTTTTAAAGAATTTTTTTTCGTGTGCCAAAAGAGGCGTGAATTTTTTAAAGAATATTTTTTTAAGTACCAACATAAAAGTGGATATTTAAATGGATATTTTTCCAACATAGGAGTGGATATTTAAATGGATATTTTTTCAAGTACCGACATAGGAATGGATATTTAAATGGTTATTTTTTCAAGTACCAACATAGGAATGGATATTTAAATGGACATTTTTTCAAGTACCAAATAAGGCGTGGATTTTTAAAAAATATATTAATTCAGGCTTTTTAAGGAATGTTTTTGATGATATACGTCGTCAACGTCTATTTTTGAAGAATTTTTATACCCTTCACCACACTGTGGTACAGGGAATTACGTATTTGTGCATTTGTTTGTAACAGGCAAAAGGAATCGAGATAGACCCATGGTTCCTTTTGAGAATATGGATAGAATCACTTTCTGAGTCGATTTACGCATGTCCGCCTGTCCGTCCGTCCGTCCATGTATTTTTGTGAACAAAGTACAGGTCGCATTTATGATCCGATTTGGATGAAATTTGGCACAGTTCACTTATTTGGCCCAAGGAACCCTATTGAAATCGGTTCATATTTAGATATAGTCCCCATATAGGACAAAATTTTGCACAGAGTACTGAATTAGGTCCAGACTGATGTGTGCGAAGTTTTGATTAAATCGATTCAGATTTAGATATAGCTTCCATATATAGTTTCGTTCAATTTTATGTGAATGATGCACCAAACTCCCAATATGTTTCCGATTCGGACAAAATTTTGCACAAAGTACTGAATTAGGTCCAGACTGATGTCTGCGAAGTTTTGTTTAAATCGGTTCATATTTAGATATAGCTCGGTTAAGATTTACATATAGCCCCCATAAATACTTTCGTCCGATTTTATGTGAATGATGCACCAAACTTCCAATATGTGTCCGATTCGGACAAAATTTTGCACAGAGTACTGAATTAGGTCCACACTGATGTCTGCGAAGTTTTGTTTAAATCGGTTCATATTTAGATATAGCTCGGTTAAGATTTAGATATAGCCCCCATAAATACTTTCGTCCGATTTTATGTGAATGATGCACCAAACTCCCAATATGTGTCCGATTCGGACAAAATATTGCACAGAGTACTGAATTAGGTCCAGACTGATGTCTGCGAAGTTTTGTTTAAATCGGTTCATATTTAGATATAGCTCGGTTAAGATTTAGATATAGCCCCCATATATACTTTCGTCCGATTTTATGTGAATGATGCACCAAACTCCCAATATGTGTCCGATTCGGACAAAATATTGAACAGAGTACTGAAATAGGTCCAGACTGATGTCTGCGAAGTTTTGTTAAAATCGGTTCAGATTTAGATATAGCTTCCATATATATTTACGTTCAATTTTATGTGAATGATGCACCAAACTCCCAATATTTTTTCCGATTGAGACAAAATTTTGCACAGAGTACTGAATTAGGTCCAGACTGATGTCTGCGAAGTTTTCTTTAAATCGGTTCATATTTAGATATAGCTCCCATATATAGTTTCGTCCGATTTTATGTGAATAATGCACCAAATTCCCAATACTTTTTCCGATTGAGACAAAATTTTGCACAGAGTACTTAATTTAATTTATATAATTAGGTCCAGACCGATGTCTGCGAAGTTTTGTTAAAATTAGTTCAGATTTAGATATTGCTCCCATATATAGTTTTGTCTTTAGTAAATAAAGATGAAATGAAATTAAATTAAATGATGCGCCAAACACCCAATATTGGGACAAAACTCTGCACAGAGCACTGAATTAGGTCTAGACTGGTGTCTGCGAAGTTTTATTAAAATCGGTTCAGATTTTCTAGGTAGCACATTTAATATCGCCCGTTTCCATCTCAATGGTCCTCCAAAAATTCTATGTCTGTTCTATCTGCAGGATATAGTAGATATTAACATCTCTTGTATGTACCCAAAGTGGTGAATGGTATCATATAGTCGGCCCCGTCCGACTTTTAAACTTTTCTTACTGGTTTTTAAGTGTGTATTAGAGATTGACTGTTTGAGCACATACATATTGTATTAGGACACCGTCGTTATTTTTTAATGTATCATTTTTAAATTTTCAGGAAGAATGGCAATTGGTATTTGCATACTTAGCTGGATTTCCCGATCTAATTGATCGTTGTCTGGAACAATTGGAACGTGGCATTTGTGCAACACATTTAATTATCCGATTTCTAAATGGTTTAGTAGCCATATTTAGTGTTTACTATAGAAGGATACGTATTTTAACTGTAAGTAATGAAATTGAAATTCAAAGGAACCATTTTCTGTTAATTATTACCTTTTGTGTATTTATAGGAAAAACGTGATCAATTAATGCCTTATGTATATGCTCGTATATATCTAATACGGGCTGTAAGAGAAATACTTTATAAAACACTGGCGCTATTGGATATACAACCGGTCGAATTTATGTAAAAAAATTTTTGTGGAAAATGTCGGGAAAAAATTTTCGAGATGACAAATCGGACAATAAATATCCTTCCCGTTTATATACAAGTCATTCAACTTAATTTCCTTATGATGAATTATTTAGTATGTGGAGTTTTCATGAATAATTAATTTCTATTTAAATGAAAAGAAAAGAGTACTTTTTTATTTTAAAATATTATTTTATTATTTATTTTTCTTCCATTTATAAACATATCACATAATACTTATATAATATATATAATATAGTGTGTGTGTTTTCTTTATAATAAATAATTTCTTTATTCAATACAAAATGTTTAAAACTAAAGACAAATGAACAAAAAAATCTACATTAAAGAAATGCATTTATCTTGTTTATTTTTCAATGAATTAAATTAAATACGATATATATTAAATAATTAACTTATTTAATATTTTATAAATCTATTTTTTATGAACTACTTAATGCTAGTTTTTTTTTGTTCTTAAATTTTAAAAGGCAATTAATGTTTGGTTTTGTGATCCGTTTTTTTTTCTTTTTGTCACCCCTTATGAAACTAATGAATTTTTATTGTCAATAGTTAATACTTGTTTTTTTTCTAGCTTAGATTAATTTAATAAAATTTAATGGTTTTCTTTAGCTTTGTAAGCTATATAAAACATATTGTAATATTTTAATTGTTTGTTTATTTGAGCTTTAAATATAGTTTTTTTTGGTTTGAGTTAGAAGGGATTTTAGTTTTCTTGCTGTGTTCTTATAAAGTAATAAATATTTTCTTTTTTTTATTTTATTTTTGTAAACAAATTAAACCGAAGATCTATTTTGAGGTTTTAAAATGTTGACTCGCCTTTAAACCACTGAACAAAATAGATGCCAATGTAACCGATATTGATATTTATATTGATTTTTTATACCATGTCCGTGATGAGTATTACATCTCTAGACCTTGCCAGTTAAAATCAACGTAACTCTCCAGATTTTTTTTTAAATATAGACGTTAATTTTTTAAGTGGGCTATATGAGTTTGGCATTTTTAAAGAATATTTTTGAAAGGTCTATTACGAAATTTCATCGAATTCGGTTGAAAAACGCGCTTAAGAACCCTCAAAATACCGAAAATTGGGGATACCGTTATATGGGGGCTACCAGAAAAAGTAGACCAATATTTATAATTTTTAGTAGAGACATTTGGTACCCAATAAGTACCCAATGTTCCAAATTTCAGCGAATTTGATAGAAAAACTCGCTTAAGACCCCCCAAAATACAGGAAATTAGGGGTACCTTTATATGGAGGCTACCAGAAAAAGTTGACCAATATTTATAATTTTTTGTGGAGACATTAGGCACCCAAGAAGAACACAATGTGCTGAACTTTAGCGAATTCGCTTGAAAAATGCGCCCTTAAGTCCCAGAATACCGAAAATTGAGGGGTACCCTTATATGAGTCCTATGCCTAAACGTGGACCTATTTGTCTTATTTTCGAACTTGACCTGTCAGCAGACAAAAGACAACCCTAAACAAAATTTCAGCACCCTATCTCAATTCCTTCAGAAGATAGCATGATTACAACAGACGGGCGGGCGGACATGGCTAGATCGACTTAGAATTGTACCATGATCAAGAATATATATATACTTTATAGGGTCGGAAATGAATATTTCTATGTGTTATAAACGGAATGACAAATGTAATATACCCTCCATACTATGGTGGATGGTATAAAATTGCAGACGTTTCACATTACAGATATAAGTCGAGAATTTTTAAAGATTTTTTTCAGATCTAAGTCGAGGATTTTTAGAGATTTTTTTTCAGATCTAAGGCATGGACTTTTAAAGATTTTTTTTTTCAGATCTATGGCTTGGATTTTTTAACAATTTTTTCATATGTCCCTTCAGATCTAAGGCCTCGATTTTTTAAAAATTATTTTCAGATCTAAGGCGTGGACTTTTAAAGAGTTTTTTTCAGAGGTCCCTTCAGATCGTAGGCTTGATTTTTTAAAGATTTTTTTTTAAATCTTAAGCATGATTTTTTAAAGAATTTTTTCAAATGTTCCTTCAGATCTTAGGCATGAATTTTTAAAGAATTTTTTCAGATTTATATTCACATCTAAGGTGCGGGTTTTTAAAGAAAAAAATTAAAGCGTTTTAAGACCAGGTTCAACTGGAAATGGTGTTCTTTTTTTCAGATCTATGGCTTGGATTTTTAAAGATTTTTTTCATATGTCCCTGATCAAGAATTTTATATATATTTTTACAGGGTCGGAAATGAATATTTCTATGTGTTATAAACGGAATGACAAATGTAATATACCCTCCATACTATGGTGGATGGTATAAAATTGCAGACGTTTAAGATTACAGATATAAGTCGAGAATTTTTAAAGATTTTTTTCAGATCTAAGTCGAGGATTTTTAGAGATTTTTTTTTCAGATCTAAGGCATGGACGGTTTTTTAAAGAAAAAATGTTAAAGCGTTTTAAGGCCAGGTTCAACTGGAAATGGTGTTCACTTTCTTCTCTCATGCCAATAAATAATAATAAATTGAATGCTATGTGATCATGTCTCCATTAGTGTTCCTTGGTTCTCTTTTCGCGAGCAGAACATTATATGCAGGTATTGACTTCAACGCCCTTCACTGACATGTATACTCAATTTGATTACATGTTGGGAATTTCTTGAAGGTATGTATATTTGTTATATACTGTGATGAAGGTTCTGAAGGTTCAAATGGGTTCTTAGCCTCTATGCCTATTAAAATTATTTTCCAAAATAATATTATAAAATATCGGCAGATTAGATAACTGTGGACCCTATTCTTTTATATATGTATTTTGATATAAAATTAATAATTATTATATTATAAATATAAATTCAGAACATTTCCAAAAAAATGACGTATACTTATATCATTATTCTTCTTCTTCTTAACTCCTCTTTTCCGGTGCAATGTCTTTTTGCAACAAAATGCAATTTCAATTCATAGTGAACTAAACCGTTATAGCAACACTTTTTTTAATTACAATTATATAAAAATATAAACTAATTCGGTAATAATAATATATAATAAAAATAATAACCCACCCTATTTAAAAATACTTAACCCATTTTAAAAACAAACTCTCCTTTTCACCTAACCTCTTTTCGACGATTAAATTCTTTAATAAACTCCAAATTATCCACACTATTGAAGAATATGCTCTCCATGAGTTTTGTGCTGCCCACGGAATTCGCCTTGGTACCCAAACACATATTGTACTGGGCCACTTCCAAATTCACATCACAGCTAATGTCATGATAAATGTGTACCAAACTGGGATCGGGTGCCCGAAAAATGGATAAACGTCTCAGCTGGGCTGCCTTGGCATTATAATCTTCCGACACTTCGGCTGTATTGACCATAAACGTATTTTGTTGATGGCCATTTTTGACAATTTTCTCCAGAAACTTAACATCCTCCAGACCCCAACCGGTAATGTCTTTATCGAAACCATTTATGCTTTCATCCATAATATCCGATTTGTAAATGGCACAAATACCAAATCCAAATTGTCGAAAATAACCCGATTCATTGGTGATTTCTTCGGGCGCTATGAATTCCTGTTGCTGGCGTTTCGGGTCATATTGACTGAAAACAATTGGCAAATAGACTTGACTACCCTGTATTGTGTTCATGCGTATTCTTTGCAGAGTTTCCAGTTTAAAGACCATATCCACGTCAATGAAGAGTATTATATTATCATCTTGTATGTAGGAGGAACGGGCGGCGGTGTCCAAGGCCACACCTCTTGAGAAATCTTCTTGTCGCTGTATATAATTGATTTGTTGGTAAATGTTGCGGCTCTTCAATTGTCGCAGCAATTCCAAATGGTCGCGTATCTCATCTTGGCTGCCAAAAATCACCACAAGTAAATCACAATTTTTATCCTCAGCAATGGCCACAGATTCATAGGTGTCCAAAAACCTCTTAAAGGTAGACAAACGGCCGGCAATGGGCAAAACAAAAACGATTTTGGAATTTGCCCCCACGCTTGAGGTACGCGATGAGGGTAGAATTCCCGGCAAGGAAAAATGATTGGAGAGTTTTTCCACGCCCTGATTCAAAATGTGTTTGAAGAAACCTAGAAGAAGAGAAAAACAACAACAAAATGAGAAAAACCGAACAAAAAGGTTTCCAAAAAAATTTTTACTCACTCCTCTGCACCGTGGTATTATAGAAATCCTCCTCAAACTCTTTCACGAAAATTCCCGTAAATGCCCGCTGCACATAGAGATGACGTCTCACTGGGACTGTCATTTTCTTGCCACGATATTTTTTATAGATCAGTAACAGGTCCAATATCAAATCTTGTCCATGCAGGGTATTCAATCTGCTGTAGCCATATAATAATTCACGAAATTCAATGACACGACCCCGTTGCCGGGAATAATTATTGATATTTTCCATGACTTCCGTTATGACATCTTCCAAACCTTCCCGGGTGGCGGAATCGATTTTATGTTTTGGATTTGCATGTTCAATGGAATAGAGGCCGCGTGCAATAAATGACCATTCCAAAAGGTCCTCTTTGGTCTTTGGAACGTATTTATTTAAATCGGGACTAATGCCTGGAAATAGGGGTGGAAATAAAAAAGGAAGTTAAAGACGGGAAAATACGAAAAAAATAAGGTAAAGAAGAAGAAGGTTGGTCTTCTGCTCTTATAAGATGAAGAAGAAGCATACCTTTAGCTTTGCTATGAAGGAGTAGCTTCAGCTTTTGTAAAGAAGAAAAAAAACTTCAGCTACTTTCCGAAATACCCTCGTGTTCCTTCCTCTTATATGAAGGAACACGAGTGCAGTTCGGAAAGTTCTTAGCCTAGCACAGAAAATGCAGTTTAAACAGAAAAAGTTAGGTGTTTTAGAGACTTCCATCTCTGTTATGAACACACGTTAAATTTTGATTCGATCTGGTAACTCCTTCATACAAAAACATGTGTTCAAAAAAGAAGCATCCGCATTTTTTTACAATACAAGCAACCATTTCTAATTTTTCCATTGTAAAAAATTGCGGATGCGTCTTTTTTGTGCCAGGCTAAGAACTTTCCGAACTGCCCTCGTAGCCTTTTATTTATTGAAGGAGTAGAATTTCCACTCTTCTGTGAAGAAGAAGTAGACCTTCAGCTATTTTATGGAGAAGAAATAGATCTTCAGATCCCCTATAAAGAAGAAGCAGACCTTCGGTTCTTCTATGAAGAAGAACCAGACCTTCAGCTCTTCTATGAAGAAGAACCAGACCTTCAGCTCTTCTATGAAGAAGAAGCAGAACCTCAGCTCTTCTATGAAGAAAAAACAGACCTTCAACTATTCTATGAAGAAGAAGCAGACCTTTAGCTCTTCAATGAAGAAGAAGCAGACATTTAGCTCTTCTATTAAGAAGATGCAGACCTTCTGTTCTTCTATGAAGAAGAAGCCGAACTTCAGCTCTTCTATGAAGAAGAAACAGACCTTCAGCTCTTCTATGAAGAAGAAACAGACCTTTAGCTCTTCTATGAAGAAGCAGACCATTAGCTCTTCTATGAATAAGAAGCAGATCTTCTGTTCTTCTATGAAGAAGAAGCAGACCTTCAGCTCTTCTATAAAGGAGAAGCAGAAATTCAGCAGTTCTATGAAGAAGAAGCAGAAGTTCGGCTCATTTATGAAGAAGAAGCAGACCTTCAGCTCTTCTATGAAGAAGAAGCAGACCTTCAGCTCTTCTATGAAGAAGAAGCAGACCTTCAGCTCTTCTATGAAGAAGAAGCAGACCTTCAGCTCTTCTATGAAGAAGAAGCAGAATTTCAGCTGTACTATGAAGAAGAAGCAGAACTTCAGCTCCACTATGAAGAAGAGGACTATGCAGACCATTTGTTCTTCTATGAAGGAACAGCCCTTATGCTCTTCTATGAAGGGGCAGACCTCCTGGCCTTCTTTAAATAAGCAGATTTTCTGTTCCTTTCTGAAGAAGAATCAGACTTTCAGCACTTCTGTGAAGGAACAGACTTTGTTTAGTTTATGAAGGAGAAGACCTTCAGCTCTTCTACGAAGAAACATCTCCTGCCCCTTTATTAAGAAAAAAAAACGGACTTTGTTGCTCTTTTATGAAGAAGAAGCAGAAGACCTCCTGCTGTTGCAGAAGCAGCAAATATTGCTACATAATTCGTATAGCTCATTCAAAAGGCCCCTTCGGAAGGCCCGTAGTTTTTATACAAAAAAATAAAAAAACAACACACGTCTTCGTACTAATTCGTATCCAGTATTGCGTGCAGTCGTGTTGTTTTCGTTTTTTATCAATTCCGTAAGTTTCTAACCTGAAACAATTGTGAACCTTATCTTCATTAAATGGGCCTCACAGCTGGAGGGCCATGGTGATATGGTCATGACAAGAAAGAAGTCTAGGTTTAAGAAAGTAAAACAGAAAAAAACGAAATGATAAAATATTGTAGGTGGCAGGAAAAAAGCTTAAATAAATCGTTGGTTTTCAAAATTTTTTCATTTAGTTTCAAATATTGAGGAAGAAAAGAACGAACCCAAAACGAAAACTGAAAAAATGACGCGCGAGATTGGAAAGTTATTAGGTTTGGTTCTGATGTTGTCATTATGTTCCATTGGCGTCCATTCGCATAAGGAATTCGATGAGGAATTCTACCATGGCGAGCTATTTGAACCAAAAGCCCATATTGCCAGAAATATGCCAGCGGAATTGGCACAAAATAAAATCACACCCAAACCGGAAAAAGATTCTCAATATTGGATTGAGAATGCCCAAAGGGCGGTGAAACAACGGGCCGGGTTGCGCCTTAAAAATAAACGGGCCAAAAATGTGATATTCTTTTTGGGTGATGGTATGTCCATAAGTACCCTGACAGCAGCACGTATACTTAAGGGGCAGCGTGAGGGACGTCCTGGCGAGGAGTCGGTACTGACAATGGAAAAATTTCCTTATACGGGCTTAAGTAAGGTAAGAGAAAAAACTTTTTAAATTAAAAAAAAATATTCTATTTTTTTTCTCCACCTTTAGACCTACTGTACAAATGGCCAGACTGCAGATTCGGCCTGCTCAGCCACGGCCTATTTGACAGGAGTTAAAACAAATCTTCTAATGATTGGTGTAAATGGTCATGTTACCTTTAATAATTGTTCCCTGAGTTCAAATCCCGATTACCACACCGAATCTATAGCTCAGTGGGCCCAGATGGCAGGAAAATCGACGGGTATTGTTACCACAACAACTGTCACCCATGCCAGTCCTTCGGGTAATTATGCCCATGTGGCCAATAGAAATTGGGAAAGTGATTATGATATTCTAAAGACGAAGGCCCAAACAAATGGACCTTGTGCGGATATTGCCAAGCAATTGATACAAAATGAACCGGGTAGAAATTTCGATGTTATAATGGGTGGTGGCTTCAAGAAATTCATACCCCACTCACAATATGATGCATTCGGCGTTCAAGGTGAACGTAGAGATGGTTTAAATTTAGTTGAAGAATGGTTGGGCCGCAATGCCCACGGAAAACTTGTTACCACTTTGGAAGACCTCAAAGGAATTGATTTTCAAGAAACTTCCAAACTTTTGGGCCTCTTTCATTCATCGCACATGGAATACAATGCCAAGGCTGGAGTGGCGAAACCTTCCCAGCCACGCCTTAAAGATATGACCGAGGCGGCAATAAAAATGTTAGAGAAAAACGATAAAGGCTACTATCTCTTCATTGAGGGTGGTCGTATCGATCATGGTCATCACAACACGATTGCTGGCTATGCCTTAGACGAGACCTTGGAATTTGATGAAGCCATACGCACCGCCTTGGATCTGACAAATGAAGAAGAAACTTTAATTGTGGTAACATCAGATCATTCTCATACCATGTCAATTTCCGGATATCCTGGACGTGGCAATCCCATTTTGGGTCTAAATCAATATAATCGTGATCTGGAGGGTATCCCGTATAGTGTATTGAATTATGCCCTTGGGCCACAACAGTATCAAGATGAAAATGGCAAACGTTTGGATTTGTCACAACACAAATATGATGATTGTAAGTGTGGACCAGGAGGAGGGGGTTGACCTACAATCGATATTTTCTCATTATTAATATATATTCGTCTTCTTCTTCCTTTATAGATATGGTCAAGCCGAGTTATATTCACACAAAAATGGGTTCACATGCCGGTGAAGATGTTGCCATATTTGCGAGAGGACCCCAGGCCCATCTATTTTCCGGAACAATGGAACAAAATGTAATACCCCATTTGATGGCCTATGCTGCCTGTATTGGTCGGGGCAAACAATTTTGTCATGAATAAAAGCATATTTGAAGAGAAAAATATGTTTTGTGGGAGGATTAGTCTTCTTATGGGAGATCAAAAATAATTATTTTCGGGGCGCGAAAGAGGTTCCTCAAATATTAGAATATAAGATATGCATATTTATTAAAAAAAGGGATTCAGAAAGATAATAGGGGCACACGATCATAAAAGAGCAAGGTCATTTTCTTTATATATGAGAAACAGAGGGTCTGATTCTTCTCCATAGAGAATCAGGCCTTCTTCCTTATAGAAGACCAAATAGTCCACTTATTCTTCATAGAAGAGCAAATGGTCGGACGAGTATAAGAGAGTATATCTGTACCTGCGTAAAAAAACAGAAGCTCTGCTCCTTCATAGAGGAGCAGAAGGACGGCTCCTTCATAGAAGATCAGAAGGTCGGCTCCTTCATAGAAGATCAGAAGGTCTGCTCCTTCATAGAAGAGCAGAAGGTCTGCTCCTTCATAGAAGAGCAGAAGGTCTGCTCCTTCATAGAAGAGCAGAAGGTCTGCTCCTTCATAGAAGAGCAGAAGGTCTGCTCCTTCATAGAAGAGCAGAAGGTCTGCTCCTTCATAGAAGAGCAGAAGGTCTGCTCCTTCATAGAAGAGCAGAAGGTCTGCTCCTTCATAGAAGAGCAGAAGGTCTGCTCCTTCATAGAAGAGCAGAAGGTCTGCTCCTTCATAGAAGAGCAGAAGGTCTGCTCCTTCATAGAAGAGCAGAAGGTCTGCTCCTTCATAGAAGAGCAGAAGGTCTGCTCCTTCATAGAAGAGCAGAAGGTCGGCTGCTCCTTCATAGAAGAGCAGAAGGTCTGCTCCTTCATAGAGGAGCAGAAGGTCGGCTCCTTCATAGAAGATCAGAAGGTCGGCTCCTTCATAGAAGAGCAGAAGGTCTGCTCCTTCATAGAAGAGCAGAAGGTCTGCTCCTTCATAGAAGAACAGAAGGTCTGCTCCTTCATAGAAAAGCAGAAGGTCTGCTCCTTCATAGAAGAACAGAAGGTCTGCTCCTTCATAGAACAGCAGAAGGTCTGCTCCTTCATAGAACAGCAGAAGGTCTGGCTCATCTTCATAGAAGAGCAGAAGGTCTGGCTCATCTTCATAGAAGAACAGAAGGTCTGGCTCATCTTCATAGAAGAGCAGAAGGTCTGGCTCATCTTCATAGAAGAGCAGAAGGTCTGGCTCATCTTCATAGAAGAGCAGAAGGTCTGGCTCATCTTCATAGAAGAGCAGAAGGTCTGGCTCATCTTCATAGAAGAGCAGAAGGTCTGGCTCATCTTCATAGAAGAGCAGAAGGTCTGGCTCATCTTCATAGAAGAGCAGAAGGTCTGGCTCATCTTCATAGAAGAGCAGAAGGTCTGGCTCATCTTCATAGAAGAGCAGAAGGTCTGGCTCATCTTCATAGAAGAGCAGAAGGTCTGGCTCATCTTCATAGAAGCGCAGAAGGTCTGGCTCATCTTCATAGAAGAGCAGAAGGTCTGGCTCATCTTCATAGAAGAGCAGAAGGTCTGGCTCATCTTCATAGAAGAGCAGAAGGTCTGCTTCATCTTCATAGAAGAGCAGAAGGTCTGCTTCATCTTCATAGAAGAGCAGAAGGTCTGCATCATCTTCATAGAAGAGCAGAAGGTCTGCTTCATCTTCATAGAAGAGCAGAAGGTCTGGCTCATCTTCATAGAAGAGCAGAAGGTCTGCCTCTTCTTCATAGAAGAGCAGAAGGTCTGCCTCTTCTTCATAGAAGAGCAGAAGGTCTGCTCCTTCATAGAAGAGCAGAAGGTCTGCCTCTTCTTCATAGAAGAGCAGAAGGTCTGCTCCTTCATAGAAGAGCAGAAGGTCTGCTCCTTCATAGAAGAGCAGAAGGTCTGCTCCTTCATAGAAGAGCAGAAGGTCTGCTCCTTCATAGAAGAGCAGAAGGTCTGCTCCTTCATAGAAGAGCAGAAGGTCTGCTCCTTCATAGAAGAGCAAAAGGTCTGCTCCTTCATAGAAGAGCAGAAGGTCTGCCCCTTCATAGAAGAGCAGAAGGTCTGCTCCTTCATAGAAGAGCAGAAGGTCTACTCCTTCATAGAAGAGCAGAAGGTCTGCTCCTTCATAGAAGAGCAGAAGGTCTGCTCCTTCATAGAAGAGCAGAAGGTCTGCTCCTTCATAGAACAGCAGAAGGTCTGCTCCTTCATAGACGAGCAGAAGATCTGCTCCTTCATAGAAGAGCAGAAGATCGGCTCCTTCATAGAAGAGCAGAAGATCGGCTCCTTCATAGAAGAGCAGAAGATCGGCTCCTTCATAGAAGAGCAGAAGATCGGCTCCTTCATAGGAGAGCAAGCACTGCATCTTCTTTGTAGAAGGGCAGAAGTTTTGGTCTGATATTGTCGGTAAAAGGATAGGGGCATAATTTTTGTAGAAGTAATTGTCATTTCAGAAAGGCTTTTCATAGACTTCCATTAGATAGGAGACCTTCCATCGGACGGTTTCAATAGTCAAACCCCTGTGCATGTGGGTCTTCTTTGGAAAAAATAATTATTTCTATCCAAAACTACCTACCCAATATATTATGATCCTCAATGTGACGTTTGCTATTCTCCTCTTCGGGTATCAGCGTTATACCCGGCACCAAATATCTACTATCGTCGGGTATTTCCAAATATTTAGCCATACGTTTTATATCACGATGCAACATCAGCGATTCCTGACGCATTTCTTCAGCCTTAAGACCCTGTATATAGGAGTGTAGACGATACATAAGCGGTGCTTGTTTAATCGGATGCAAAGATATGGCATTATGGATCTCTTTGCGTTTTAATTTTCCCGTGAAGGCAGCCCGACCGCTGGAATTGTGCCGCATAATATATTGCATCTGTCGAAGGACGGAAAAGAGTAATTTAGTTGGGAATCCACAATAATTATGAAATCTATTACATTACCTCATAATTCCAGGTGCAAGGTATGCCGGCAAATTTTTGAACACAACGCCCGACCTCAACATCCTCATGGGTGCTGTAGAGATTTTTCAAGCAGGTGGGTATGTGAGGGGCCACTATAGAAGAGATTTACATTTTGAGTAAACTAAAATAATTATCTGCATTTAAGATCTCTTACCTCTCCTTAAGGTCTCACTGCTCAAAATGACACCCGGACCACCCATGCAAAAGTTTTCATCGAACTCCAAAGACAGCAGGCCAAATTCTTCGGAGTTTCCTTTACCAGCTTGGCCTGTAATAAAAAAACAAATATCAGTATATGATTTTAGATATTCCCTAAGATTACTTACCTATAAATTGTGGCTTGGAACTATCAATGGATCTCAAGAAATTCTCCAATTTCTGCGGTTCGATATAGACATCATCATCCGCCCGAATAAACCATTCAAATTTATCAATGAAATTCTCATACATATAGTAGAGCATCATGAAGGACTTCTTTTGCGGCGGATAACGATCATCGACATTTTTCAAACCCACCACTGGCAGTTCATCCGAAAAGGAACCTTCTGAACTGAAAAATGCTATACGACCCGGTACCTCTTTACCCCATGTATCGTAGACAGCTCTCGCTCGACCTTCGATGAAATTTTTCGCAGTCATTACACCGACAAAGACAAGATTTTTCTGTGAATTTTGTATTGTATCTTCGGGTCGGAGGCCAATGATTTCGTATGGGGTTTTTTGATTATTCGGCTTGAGGCTACATCGTTTGACAATTTCGAGGGCTCGATAATTTTTCAGTACGGTGCCAATGCAAAGGCCAATGGCAATGCCGAAACAGGCAAAGATTAGCGTTTTTCGCTTTGTCATGGCATTTTTGGCCATTATCATTTTGGTTATAGGGCGGGACTGGGAGAGGTGTAGTTATTTTTGTTTGGTTGTAGGTAGGATGTTTTTTCTTTCATGTGGTTCGGTTTCAATAACTGGAAAGAATGTGGACTTTCGATATATTAGCTCATTGATATCTGAAAAAATAAGAAGAAGAAGACATTTTTATAAAATATTTATTGAGAAATTTGCAAAGGACATTGAAGAAAACCTTCCTCTCTTCTATGAAGAAGACCTCACTCTCTTCTATGAAGAAGACCTCCAGCCCTTTTATGAAGAAGAACTTTACATCTTCTATGAAGAAGAATATCTCCAGGTCTTCTGGTTTGTTTTCTTAACTAATCTGGCACATGGGTGCCAACTGCTATAAATATTTCTCGTATGATTAAAATAAATAACCTGAATTAAATTAGTTGTTGAGACTTGCAGGCTGAGCTATTTATGTTAATAAATTTATGGCGTACATCGCGTTGTTTGTTTTTCTCAATTAAGTCAGTGGCTTAAAGTGTTCTGCACAAATGTCAGGAAAAAAATACGTGGGATGGAGGAATAGAACTACCTCTTTTTCTTTTGAAACTTTTAAAAATTGGAACATAAGAAAACTGGAATGTTGCAAGATCAGGGTATCCATAGACAGAGGTTAATTTCAGAACTATTTTCAGGATATCCGAACTTTTAAAAATTGGAAATTTTTCAAATTGGAATGTGTCAAGATCAGGGTATCCAAAGACAGAGATTAATTTCAGAACTATTTTCAGGTCGAATAAAAAAGTATTGGCTTCGAAATTTAATTTTATAAATATTCCTGTGCCGATGTTATTAGAATCGAACTTATGGGCTCATCTTCTGCCTCATAATGTATGGTCTACCAGCATAATGTAATCAATTGTAAGTATTCTTGCTGCAGGTTTATTATCGGACTATTTATGTCAATGTTTTGTCGCCCGTTTTGTACAGCTCAGTTACGGCGTGAACTTAGTCAAACTGTCTAAGACGAACACTTGTGAACATGAAATCAATTTTATGAATGAATGCAACGGAATACACCCACAAATTGATGGAGAAGGACAGGTAAGCCTTGAAGAATGCGTAAAATAAAGGAGAGGGTAATAGGAGGCCTTAATGCCATATATAAAAGCCTGCCATAATATTCGGGGTGAACATTTTTAGTTTTTTTTTTATGAAAAATAAGATATTCCGATTTTAAGATTAGAAGAAGAACTTGATCTCTTAAATGAAGAATAATAAGAAGTGGTCTATAAGAAACACTTTGGATTTTCCATGATCAAATCTTTTGAACTTCTATGAAACGAGCTTCTGATCTTCGAAAGAAAAAGCTTCTGGTCTTCTATGAGAAGTTCCTTCTTGTATTCTATGAAAAGATGTTATATGAGAAGATTTCCTGGTACTTCTGTGAAATAATATTTTATGAGAAAACATTCGGTGCTTCTAGTCTTCTGGAGAAAAACTTCTACGAAGATCGCCTGTGATCTTCTATGAAGAATAACCTGAAATCATCGATAAAGAAGATCTCTATGCTATTATATGAAGTATACAGATCTACTATAGAAATACTTTTAATTCTTCTGTAGAGAAAAAATAGGACTTTTGCTCTTCTCTGACGAAGATAAAGACCTTCAGATCAGCTGGAAAAAAAGAAGAAGACTTCAGGTTTTTTGTGAAGAAGTAGAACATTTTTCAGCTCTTCTGTAAAAAAGAAAACAGTTATTTCTGCTGTGTAAAATCAGATCGCCACGAGACAAAAAAACACTTTTTTTTTGGGGGAACAAGACCCTGTGAAGAATATCTCCTATGAAGAAGCTGACCTTCTTCTCCTCTATGAAGAACCTGACCATTAGCTTTTGTATCATGAAGAAACAGACCTTCACCTCATATATGAAAAAGGAAAGGACTTTCAGGACTTCTATAATGCGGAATTCGACCTTCAATTCTTCAATGTAAATGAAGTAGACTTTCAGCTCTTCTATGATGAAGAAGCAGACCTTTGGCACTTCTGTGAAGAAGGCATTCTGCTTTTCTGCAGGGAAGACCCTCAGCTCTTCTTTAAAGAATCCTTAGATCCGTATCGGGCGAACCACCGCAAGCGTGCGCTCTCGCGAGAGCAAATATCACTATTCTCTCACACACATTCAACTGAACCAAGTGAAAACCCATTGACACACACACAAAAACAAATGTCTGAGAACCGAATTTTTTATGCTCTGCCCGTTCCTGCCTTAGATGGTCCTTAAAAAATCCACGCCTCAGATGGTCATTGAAAAAATGTTCTTTAACAAATCCGCTTAGATGGTTCTTAAAAAATCCACGCCTCAGATGGTCCTCAAAAAATATTCTTTAAAAAATCCACGCATTAGATGTCCTAAAAAATATTCTTTAATAAATCAAAGCCAAGCCTCAGCTCTCCTACGAAGAAACCATGGATAGTATTTAAAAAATCCACGCTTTAGAAGGTCCTCAAAAAATATTCTTTAAAAAATCCACTCCTTAGATGGTCCTTAAAAAATCCACTCCTTAGATGTCCCTCAAAAAATACTCTTTAAAAAATCCATTTCTTAGATGGTCCTTAAAAAATCCACGCCTTAGATGGTCCTTAAAAAATCCACGCCTTAGATCCACGCCTTAGATGGTCCTTTAAAAATCCACGCATTAGATGTCATTGAAAAAAATATTCTTTAATAAAACAAAAATCCACTCTTTAGATGGTCCTTAAAAATCCACGCCTTAGATGGTCCTTGAAAAAATATTCTTTAAAAAATCCACGCCTTAGATGGTCCTTGAAAAAATATTCTTTAAAAAATCCACGCCTTAGATGGTCCTTGAAAAAATATTCTTTAATAAATCCACGCCTTAGATGGTCCTTGAAAAAATTTCCTTTAATAAATCCACGCCTTAGATGGTCCTTGAAAAAATATTCTTTAATAAATCCACGCCTTAGATGGTCCTTGAAAAAATATTCTTTAATAAATCCACGCCTTAGATGGTCCTTGAAAAATTAGCCTTTAATAAATCCACGCCTTAGATGGTCCTTGAAAAAATATTCTTTAATAAATCCACGCCTTAGATGGTCCTTGAAAAAATATTCTTTAATAAATCCACGCCTTAGATGGTCCTTGAAAAAATATTCTTTAATAAATCCACGCCTCTGCGAGTCCTTGAAAAAATATAGTTTAATAAATCCACGCCTTAGATGGTCCTTGAAAAAATATTCTTTAAAAAATCCTCTTCTAGAATCTGATCTTCCGCTCTTCTTTAAGAAGCAGATCTCCTGATGTGATATGCATGAGGGCTGATCACTGATCCATGTATTTGAAAAAACCTCCGTTGTCAATTCTTACAATTCCGCACTCGCCCATTGCCATCTATTCATGTAAAATAAACCTCGAAAATCATATAAAGAATATCATTCATATGCCCACACGACAAGTGCAACAGCAGCAACAACAACAATAAAATTTACAAATGTAACAATGCAACATGTGGCATAAAGACTTGTTTAACAACAGAAACAAATGCAGTCAAATAATATGGAGACCAATAGGCGGGTATCAGATTGCATGACTACTTCTATGGTGGAAGGGAGGCAGGGAGGGCGAAGGAGGGGCAGGTTGAGATGGAGACAAGACCTTTTCCAAGCAACTGACTAATGCAAATCACCCGGAAAGGATTATTTAATGGAATGGAAAAAAAATGATATTCGAAATGAATTGGCGGACAAACAAATAGGCAGGGAGGCAGGCTGACAGACAAATTGAATGACTGGCTAACTGACTGACTGAGTGAGCGAGTGATTGACTGGAAAAAACTGCTCAAGTGCCTGAAGAACATAAAGTATCGTATAAATAAATAATTGTTTGCCTTTCAACTCGTCACTGCTGCTTGCAACAATTTATGTGAATGCGAAGCGGGTGGGCGAACATTTTTTTCTTTTCAACTTTACTAAACAGAAATTGAAAATTTCAATTGAAAATGTGTGCTTTTTTTTAAATATTTTTTTTTATTTCTCCAACTATTGTCCGTCATTCGGTGTTCATTCTTGGGGTGGGGGAAATTTTTTTGTTTCCTCGAATAAAAAAATGGTGTTTAGTTTGCAAATTGTTGTGCGGATTGTGAAGCGTGTAAGAATTTGATTGGATATTTTAGTGTGCAAGAACGAACAAAAAATAGTTTCGAACATAAATTCTGTTGCGAACGGTATTGTGGATTCCTAATAAAAAAATTTGATATTTTTTATGGAGAATATTTGCAAAAAACTAAAATAAATGTTTATATGTTTATTATAGTTCTAATGAAGTAAACTTTAATGTGTGGGGTTGTGTATTCCTGAAAATCCATGTGGTTGTATATTAGGTCGTAAATTTTAAAATAATAAAGGAAATGACCTCAATGAATATTTTTTTCAAGGACCATCTGAGACGTGGATTATTTACAGAATATTTTTTCAAGGACCATCTGGATCCTGGATTTTTAATTATTTTTTCAACAACGATCTGAGGCATGGATTTTTTAAAGAATATTTTTTCAAGGACCATCTAAGGCGTGGATTTTTTAAAGAATATTTTTTCAAGGACCATCTAAGGCGTGGATTTTTTAAAGAATATTTTTTCAAGGACCATCTAAGGCGTGGATTTTTTAAAGAGTCATTTTTCAAGGTTCATCTAAGCAGTGGATTTTTTAAAGAATATTTTTTCAGGGATCTAAGGCGTGGTCATCTAAGGCGTGGATTTTTTAAAGAATATTTTTTCAAGGACCATCTAAGGCGTGGATTTTTTAAAGAATATTTTTTCAAGGACCATCTAAGGCGTGGATTTTTTAAAGAATATTTTTTCAAGGACCATCTAAGGCGTGGATTTTTTAAAGAATATTTTTTCAAGGACCATCTAAGGCGTGGATTTTTTAAAGAATATTTTTTCAAGGACCATCTAAGGCGTGGATTTTTTAAAGAATATTTTTTCAAGGACCATCTAAGGCGTGGATTTTTTA